GTGGCGTGTGGTGCTGTGGTGCGAACTACTTATAAGTAGTATATAGCGTGAGTGTCAACGTAAAGTCTGGTAGCATAATATGGGGGGAAGATCAAGAAAGGAAGAGTCAGAAAACAATGGAATTTGTATGAAACGCATGAAGAGTGACAATGGATTGATGTTTGGCAACAGGAACAGTCCAGTTCCATAGGATGAACTGATCCTTTGCAAATGAACGATTTACGATATGGTTTTCCGATTTTACTGAGTAACTCTGTAATTTTCGTTAAATACAATTCGGTTGCCTCCACCTGTGTTCTCATTCACTACACTACTAATACTACTACTACTACTAATACTAATACTAATACTACTACTAATACTACTACTAATACTACTACTAATACTACTACTACTACTACTACTAATACTACTACTACTACTACTACTACTATGCTCGTCAATTGATATGCTTGAACTATTATGAGTGCACCTTATTCGGTAAATGAGCGCTAGATAAATGACACAGTGACACGATAGGCTACTCTAATCCGAGATTCCCAAGGCCGTACTAAGTAGATGAAGAAGTCTTTATATGGCATAGAAAGTGTATTCTACAAGCACCCACAAAATATGAGGTTGACAAACACAGAAATAGAGTTGATTTGTCCATCATAGAAACGCCATTGAGAGAGTCACAAAAATGGCGTACCAAAATAATACATCAATCACTAACAGCCAAGGATTTTTCGGGTTGGAAATGTGATCTCAAGGTTGAATGATCAGCCCATGCTCGAAGACATAAAATCCAAAATTAGAACATTTATCAAGTGAGTTCTGGGGACCTAACGTTCCCAACACTGAGGGATTTTAATTTCTTATTGTTGATATTCAGGAGTGAAATTGATCAGTTTCCGATGTCGTTTATGTATTCTAAGCAGATTGGTTCAACTTGGTCATTTGGTTGCGAGTTTTAAAAAAAATTTAAGCAGCAGTAGGGCATTTAAAGTAAGCAGTACTAGGTTCGGATTCATTCAGTTTACGAGTCCCGAATAAGACAAAAGGTGCACCTCCCGGCATTCCAATGGTAGTCAGATATCAGATTTGTTAATGTATTGTTCACTTTCTTGTTTATCCTCTGATCTGTATATAACCGCTAACTTTATTCCATATAAATACAGTGACCTAGAAGTTTATAAGTGTTTAGTACATATGAGTACATATGCAACAGTTACAATGTATATCCTCTCTTTTATGTCATTTATGCCTTCCATATAATTCTATTGCTTTTTGTCTTCCATAGGAAAATGAAAAAAGTAAACGATTAGAAGAAAGTTTAAGAAGATTAGATGAAGAAATGCGAAGAACTGATGATTTATTATACCAAATGATACCACGTTCTGTAGCTGAACGGCTTAGAGCTGGTGAAGCTGCAGTGGATACTTGTGAAGTATGTGATTTTTTTAAAAACAATTGATTTGCATTTACACTTTATTCATAGTCTATTTCTACATGATAACAATCTAGTGTTTGATCAATTTTGTTGCTTTTCAAAGCTGTTGGACTCAGTTACCTCAAAATGTAAAACTGGATATTTTTTTATCATAAATATTATTTATAGTACTGAATCAACATTTTGTATGACATTTTGAATAACTTTTCATAGATTAGTGAACTTGATTTTTCTGGTTATTAATATATAATTTTTCTAAATGTTAGTGAATATTGTTAAGTAGTAGTTATGTTAACTGATGATTATTTAGAGAATTCAAACAAATTTACATAAATCACATGGTGTACTTTTCCGCAGTATGTTTGTTGTATTATAATTATTTCGATTTGGGAAAATCATTTCACTGGGAATTTTGTGTAATGTCAGGTGACTTTTAAAATCAAAACGGGTAATATTAACCTAAAATAAAATATTTTTAATCAAGCAATAAAATCCATTATAAGAATATTAAATAGTGTGAACTATTAAATCGTTGTTTCGTTATAGTGTAAGATTTTATGAAAATAGTTGCACTTTGTAAGTAATCGATCTGAACTAATACTTTCATACTAATACTTGAAGACTTAAATGTGTATCATTCAGTAATATAGTTGAAAACCATTTCGCTGGGCTACTGAGGTTATGAATAAAAACTTGTGGTTATAGACAGGGCACACTAATCTGTAATTAGGTAACGTAAAGTTTGATTTTTTCTATTTTCCTACACTAAGATGATTAAGAACACTGTAAGTAAAATCATTAATATTAAGTGTATATTTTGTTAGCGTAGCTAAGACAAAAAATGAAATTCAATTTGCTCAAAGACTTGAACCAGTAGTGTTTACTGTCTTAAATAGAAACTTCCCTAATAAGCTCTGCTCAATATCAAACGTAATGCACTGTAATACTGTTACACTCGTCTCTAGGTATGCTTAAAACTATTACCGGTTCACCTCAGTCGAATAACGAGGAAAAAAACAATGAACCGGGGTGCGGGTAGGCTACTATGATCCCTTGACCCAAATGTACTAGCAAGAAGTCTTGATATAGCATAGGAAGTGTATTCTACAAACACCCAGCCAGCACATAAATCGCGTTTATTTATGTACCATAGAGACGTCCTTGTGAGAGTCACAGAATAGCACACTAAAATAACACAATGACCTATCACGGCCAAGGATTCTCCTGCTGGGAAATATGATCTCAATGTCAACTGATCAGCCCATGAAATAAATCCAAAATATGGATATTTATCAAGCGAGTTCTGGAGATCTAACGTACGCAAACAAATACCAAATCACTTGCATTGTTAACTAATATCAAATTGATATTTTGAATCAGAACCATAATGATTACCGTATAATCTGATTGGAATACAATAAGGTTACATAAAAAAACGGCTATAATTAAGAACCAACAGATGAAATATTCCAACATTGAATAGTTTAGTTTAGTTCTTTGAAATTTAATCATTAGAATAAAATTTCCTAATTGAAGAAAAAGACTACTCTTAATCGTCTCCTGAAGTGGCACTAAATAATTAATAAGTTCTCAATTTATTGAACTCAAAATATGTTTTCCTATGTAGACACATGTTTTGAGATGATTGGTTTTATTTGAGACGGTTGATCTCTATAAATTATGAATATTGTAATGAAATATAATTGGAATCAGGAAATAAAAATCACTAGATTTTAATTTCTAAAAAATGTAAGATATAAACTATGATTATAGAATGTTACAAGTTTTCTAATCCTCTTTTTTAATTCCCCAAAAAACCGATTTGTGAAAAAATCCGTTTCATAGACAATACACAATTAAGTTGTTAGATATAATGAGCAGAAAAATCTGGAATTAAGTCTTCTGATAACAAGACTTATTTGGATTTAAGAGGAAATCGATGGTTTCTATGATACTTGAGTCAGTATCAATCAGTATCGCAGTCAGAGATGTTATCATAGGTCAAGAGCTTCTTACCTATCGCTTCCGACCATCAAATATGAAAATGTGAAATACATAAAGTCGAGTTGTTTTCTTGTGCAGTTTTATCTCTCTTCAGATTGGTATATTCCTTTTATATGTACAATTATTACAAACTGAAATTATGAATCAGTCATTGTTGGACCATCATTAGAAACCTGGAAGTACTGGATGGCCTTTCCGTCATGGTATGGGACACATCAGCAGCGCGCATCCACGACTCCTGCTTTTCTCAGGATTCGAATTCAGGACCTTCGTTCTTGCGCGTGAACGTCTAAGCCCCCGAACTGGAGTTAGACGTTAACATTGTTGGATGCCAGCCGTCCAGTGATTCTAGGTTTCTAATATTGGTCTAACAATGATTGATTCATAATTTTTATGTATACAAACAAAGATCTCCATAACCCTAACTGAAAAATCATAAGATTACATTAGTTTTTAGTTATTTATATTTTCCTGACTAATTTATTATCATGTATAATAGTTAAGAATGAATTGTTTTTCATATCCAGTTAAATGATTTCGATTATATTTTCAATTACCATAATTCTTGTTTTTATATTTACAATGATAGAAAGTTATAGAAATAAACTAGATTAGAATAATAGATAAATGATTGAAATTCTACTTCATACAATTCAGATTAACATTGTTTTGTTTGATTTTAATATGCATTCTCATATAAACTTAATATACACTTTGAATCAATAGTGTTAAAGATAAAAATTCTTCTTTGCAACTTATCTGTATTTGACAAAATCAATGATATAAACAATTAAACTAGTGAAGAAAAATTTAATACACAATGGAAGTGAACATTGAATCTGTTTTTACTGTCAGGTAAAAAAGTAGTCTAGGATGTAAATGTACTCCAAAACGTAAATTTTTTAAAGAAAATACTTATCAAGGATAGAAAACTACTTATAAGTAATAAATACTTCAATATATTACTTACGAAATCAATATTTCGAAATTTTATATTAGATATAAAAATATTAATTTATTTGATATCGCGAATCGATCATTATTAGACCACCATTAGAAATCTGGAAGCACTGGATCGCCATTTCGTCCTGGTATGGGACTCATCAGCAGTGTACCTCCACGACTCCTGCACCTCGCACGATTCGAACACCTAATCTCTGGACCACTGAGCCGGTATCTAACGGTGTTAATGTCTAACTTTGATCAATTCATGGAGTTGCGCAACCTCGTACACTGTCTACACCCGAACAGAGTGAACTTCACTGGTCACGACTTCCCATTAGAACTTGGAGAAGATTCCTCACGGAGCTGGTCACTATAGTGAACACAATCAATTTCCTTGTTTATTTAGGCTAACAAATAAGAGTGAAATTCAGAACGTATATATAGTCGATTGATTTTAACACTTGATAAGCGAAAGCATCTGTTGGCAACTGGATTAAAATTCCAACTAAACATTTGCCATTTTCAAATCATGAGAGTATTATTATTAATTATCCTAGTAACCGTCAACTGTTTCACGGTTATATAATTAATTTTAAATTGTTCAAATTCTCCTATTGCCTTATGACTGACTGCATTACATTAGTTTTGTATGACAATAAAAGAAACATATTTCTGTTGTTTGGTTTTTTCAATTAAGAAGAATGATTATGTCATAAGTAAAAGACGCTAATTAATTTTCTTAAGCGGTACAAATTTATTTATAGGTAATTTTATTTTTGACATGTAATCATACATATTAGTATACGGAAAATTATAATCGATAGTGAAACTTTTTCAAGTAATGAATTTGAAAAATCGATGAAAATGAAGTAGCAGCATTTTTATTATTTAATTCAAGTAATCAAAGATAATTTAGAGAGATCATGTATGAAATAAAATCGAAATTGTATTGTTTAACAGAATGACTAGGAAATTATTAAGAAATGAAATTATGTAATAGTTTTACAGGTATCAGTAATAATATTAATAATTAATAGTTTACCTGTTCGGGTGAAGAGAGTAACTACCGAAGACAGTGTATGAGGTTGCGCAACTCCATGAATTGATTGAAGTTAGACATTTAACACCGTTAGATACCACCTCAGTAGTCTGAGTGTTAGGCGTTCTCGCACAAGACCGAAGGTTCTGGGTTCGAATAGTGTGAGTTGCAGGAGTCGTGGATGCGCACTGCTGATGAGTCCCATACCAGGACGAAACGGCCATCCAGTGCTTCCAGATTTCTAATGGTGGTCTAATATTGATCGACTCATGGTTTCAAATGTGTAACTTAACAGTCTTCACAACACCGTAATAAAAGGCAATTGTCCTCATTACAAAAGAGAAGGTGAATGAATAATCAGATTATAATAATTCCCACTTATGATTTGTAATATAAAGAGGAGTCTTAAGATCACAGAGGAACAAACGATTGGATATGACTGTTTTGCATACAGGGGTCAGGTTTGAAGCAATGCATTTTTGTAACTTCAGTTCCACACTAATTCGTCTCCCAAACCTTTCATCGAGTCAGTTCTTATAAACTGAGTAAATAAAATCTGAATGCTGATTCTCTTGATGGCGTGCAACAACTAGAAGTAACTTTGTGTTCAAGGATTGATTGCTTTGCAAACTTCTTTAGATAGAGCTAACACAACCTACTACATAAAAACATGGATAAATAGAAGAATTTCGTGACACCCCTATCTCTTCCGTGGTTGGATATGACTTAGCTAATGTTTACATTTTATTTTCTTATTATTAGCATTATTTTCACATCCTGTATTTGTTAGTAACTCTCTGCCTCTTCCCGTTTATATTCTTCACTATCTAATTATGTACACACTTCTTATTACGCAATGGTTTTAATGTTTTGTAATGGCTATTATAAGTCTGTTTATCCACGTTTGACCGACTATTGATTAAACTTTTATTTCATTTTATTTTCTTTAATACTATCAGTACACCTGTCTTCCTACTACTATTAACTTGTACTTTTGCTTATTATGTGTAGAGTGACGGAATCTATTTCATTTCGTTGTGATGAATGACTCATAAATTGCCTTGATTAGTTTAACATGTTCATATTACATATTCATGCATATTACAGAATAAAGCCTGATGACGATCTAATTGAAAACAATATTGTTCGCCTATATAAGTGATCCTCCATTTCCCAACGGGAATCTTTAGTATACATAAAAACAAGTAAACTGGTAAATACACATTGAAGCGACCGAAAACATTTAGTTAATCCTTAACGCTGCCCAGAATGACAGACTTAATCGAGAAAACGATTTGTAACTCCGGCGAATAAAACATAGTTTTTAAAGAACTAGAAGTTACATTCTTTAATATCTCCACAACCATATCCCGTTTTTATTCAATGTTCATCAATGAAAATTTCCTCGCAGTTTTGATTTTATATGGCCAAATATGAATGAAAATTAGGGCTATTTCGTTTTGCTTTTTCGAATGAAAGTTTTTATCATTGTTTCATGGCTACTGTTCAGTTTATTGATTATTTTGATTTTTTTTTCATTAAACTATTTTGCAGACATTCGATAATGTTACCCTGTTATTAAGTGATGTAGTTGGATTTACAACAATATGCAGTGGTCTGGAACCATTGGAAGTTGTAGGTCTACTCAACAAACTTTATTCAGTATTCGATGGATTGACAGAAAAACATAAAGTTTATAAGGTGAGGAGATGTGAATTATACTATTTTTTGTTTTATCAATAGGATGTGTGAGGTTTGTAATTAATGAAGCTACAATAGTTTTGATTTGTAGAGATTAATGAAACATTGACTGAAAAAAAAGGTAAGATTCTGTATCGTATGATTATTCTGATAACTACCAGAAGGTCAACCAACATGCCTGCAGCACATGCACACATGTTGCTTTTTACGCATCACAAAATTTCACACGTTTGCCGTCACGCGATTCTCTTTGCCCAAAAAGGTATGTACATGTTGACTAGATTCTCATGCAAGCTTTTATGTTTTCTGCTTGATGTAACGCCAACACTACTGTATTAACGACCCTCGTAACGTTAGACTCCCACCGTCAAAAATACAAGACGGAAGACGTTGGAGAACACTTATTAACAGAACCAAAAATATACAACCAAACATGCGTATTTATACAATTATAAATATAATCGATATTGTCGTTTAAATATTTGAATTTTAAATCCAATAGTTCATCGATTGACTGCCCTTGAAATATTTAAGCATTTAATCGATAAGTTCATCAATCCACAATGTGCATGGCTTTCTTCTCGATTGGCTATCCCAACACAAGCAAGTCGTACATCCAATCTGTGTGTGCACGAGCAGTCCCTCCAGCCAAACCACTACTCACAATCCTCAGTCGGTATGGGCGGCAAGGCGGGCTTATCCAGCTAGTCCTGGCACCTCGTGATGGTTTACCGAGTCAACCAGCAGCCATTCAAGCCGTCTGCCCTCCAACTGCCTTGCGCTGATACAATCTACCGGGGCCCTCAAGACCCCGCATAAAGCAGAGGATCAAGTTCGTCCCAGAAAGTCAGAACGTACACCCTCCCATGAGGTAGATCTCATGGACTCGACCAAGCGCAAGCACTCAGCCAAGCAGGGTTAATCCCACTACATAAGGGTGGGCAGATATCATGTGCAGTCAAGTACCATTTCAGCACAGGATCCCATAACCCAACTGGAGACCCTTGTTTAAGGGGCTTCGATGCCAGTTGACACACTACACTGAGATACAGAGAGTTCGGGACAACCACATAGGGTCGGACGTCAATAGTCCAGGATCTTTACGTCAAGGGGGGATTATTCTATTAACTTGTGTATGGATTTAATTTAGAATTATTAACAGTTATTTGAATGAAAAGCTGAATACATAAAAATTGCTTTAAAAATGCCCGTAACTTGAAATATCAGACATTCAAACAATGTTGATTTTTAGTTTTTAAACACTCTGCAATGATATTTAAAAATGGTTGCCATGATACCTAACTTTGGCTAGGTGGATTGCAAAAAATAGTTTTTGTACTATGAAACTGTCTCGAAATCAAAAAATACAAATCTATAGTTAAATGTTCAAGTGCATTGATTTAGCTAACTTTTATAAATGCTTTGAATTTTCAATCTATTACTGGGTTATCTGATCGTATGATCACCTTTTGGAAAGTGCTCTAATAGGACACAAAGAATTGTATTGGGTATTATTGCTTTGTAATGGAATTTTCAACTATTTTCACTTGCTAACCAGTATGCCATATCATGGATTGACTGACAGTATGTGATTAGATCTCATACTTCTGAGAAGTTTGAAATTATGACAAACAGTCATCTATCTATCTACAATTGGTTTTCGCATTCCCTGAAGAAATCTTTGTCTAGCACTCATTGATCTGTTTGTTTACACATAGTAACCAATAGTAAATTTTGAAACGGTTTACATTATAAATCAGCTGATTATTTGATTGATTCATGATTTCAGTTGTGTAACTTAACAATCTTCACAACCCCATAATGCAAGTACATGTGCTCACTAGTGACTAGCTCCGTGAGGAATCTTCTCCAAATTATAGTTGGAAGTCGTGACCAGTGAAGTTCCACCTGTTCGGGTGTAAATAGTAACTACCGAAGAGGTGTGTGAGATTGCGCAGGACCATGAATTAGTCGAAGTTAGACATTAAGACCGTTAGATACCGGCTCAAGGATCCAGATTTTAGGCGTTTGCGCTCAAGAACGAAAATCCTGAGTTCGAATCCTGGGAGATGCAAGAGTCGTGGATGCGCACTGCTACTAATGAGTCCCATATCAGGATGAAACGGCCGTCCAGTGCTCCCATGTTTCTAATGGTGGTCTAATATTGATCGACTCATGATTTCAAATATTTGTAAGAAATAAAGAAGTACTTGAAAACTGTTTCTTTATCTATTCTAAGAATAGTTGATGGTATGAAATAATCAAACTCTTGCATATTAGCTTAAGTGGTATCGAGTTTATGGATGAGTAATTATATACTTCGAGTACAGTTTTACTCTCATTTAGTTGCTTTCATACGCTTAGTGTCAAGTCAATTCTCAACAGATATTAGTACTCAAACTCATTTTAATTGGGAGTCGATTTTACATCTAGCAGAATATCGAAAGATGACAAACAACACAATAAGTTACTTCAAGTTAAGTGAAAATTGAGAAAAAAGCTTCCCAACCTACAGTAGTAATCCAGTGTAATAATAACCTCGAGTTTGTAAGTAAATGGATTCAAGTTAAGAAATCATTAGAATGAAATAAAAATTATTCAGTATTTCTTTGCCAAGATGACGAAAGAATAACAGACAGAAACCTTGAATTAATTATCTTTAAACGGTTTCATAAATTAATAAAATCAAGTGAAGTTTGAAAATTGTTCACTTACCTTAAAGATTCCAAGTTAGGGCTTGCCTTGTGACACAGTTTGGTGATTTCCGCAGCTTGTCCTATCCACCATCAGTGTTTCTTTCCTAATTCTTTCCTCAGCTAAAAGCTGGTTTATTCTTTTTCACAGTATGTTGTGACAGAAAATGTGATTTAAACTGTCTAATTAAGGGACACTCTACTCAGTGATCAGTCAGTGGTAAATATATTTCATTACTACAGGAAGTTAGCCAAGATCTGGATAGCAGAGCTGTAACGTCCTAAACAGTGAACTGTTCCCTATTCTCTTTATTACGACTATCATTTCCGTTTTAAGCATCCATTCTTTTGGGGATGTTAGATCCCCAGAACTCGCTTGATAAATATTTTTATTTTGGATTTATTTCATGGACCGATCAGTTGACCTTGAGGTCACGTTTCCCACCAGGAAAATCTTTGTTTGTGATTAGTTACTGTGTCATTTTAGTGTGCTATTTTTGTGACTGTCCCAAGAACATCTTTATGGAGTATAAATAAATGCGATTTGTGTGCTGGCTGTATGTTTGTAGAATACACTTTCTACTCTGTATCAAGATTTCTTGCTGGTAAAATTGGGAAAATCGGATCACAGTAGCCTACCTGGACGGTGGTTCATTGTTTATTCCTCGTTATTCGACTAAGGTGAACCGGTAATAGTTTTAAGCGTAAGACCAGCATAACACATTCCAACTAATTGAAGTATATGAAATTTCCAATTTTCGATCGTATTACTCTTAGCGATTTTAAACTGTTTGAAGCTAATGCAAAGCTTTAACGTAAAATAAACTTATTTAGCAAATCTTGTTATTTTAACTTTGTTTCAATTTATCAACAGATCAGACTGTATAAATTATACAGTCTGTTAGTTATGCCCATTTTTACTTTGAACAAGAGGGAGATCAAAAAGTTTCTATGTTTTGTCTGTGATTCAAACAAATGAAAAGTCTCAAAGTGAAATTCATTTTTCTTCTTGACATGGTTAAAACCATTAAAGCCACAAGACAATTCAAAAGTTTTATTATAAATGTTGTGCATCAGTTGTTATTAGATGATTTTAATAGGAGTTTGACATTTATCATCGCTGTCTGTAAAAATAAATATGTTTCATTGACCTGTATTGTGTACGTACGTTGGGTCTAGTGAAAATATCTTTCATGTGTTTGTCTAAGACAATAAATAATTATCTAATTGATTTGTTCATCGAACTGGAAACTGAAAGCGATTTACATATTTAGGGTTATCGTAGGAATTTTTGTAAGGAACATATTACTCAGTGAATCAATAAAATACAAACTAAGATGTTTAATTCATTTGTATTGGTTGTTTGGAACTTTTTATTGATATTGAGGACTGGAATTGATCAGTCTGTTTTTTGGCATAGTTTTTATCCTTTGCGGTTCGCCTCTATACTGTCACCAAGTCACGAGTATTATCAGAAGAGGTAAATGATGGCCCGCTGGTAAGTCTCAAATAGGATGAAAGGTGCGTCCTGACTTCCACTGCTGGCTACCATCCATTTCTGCTTATAAGAAGTATGATGTTCTTTGATGGTTAAGTTGTCACGTCGAAGAAAATTTTTATAATCGATGTTTATAACTGAGTAAGTATCATGACAAGAGTTTAAGCAATTGACGTGGGCTTAATCATTTGAGAACTGAATTATTGTATAGGACTGTCGTAAAATTCACTTGATGACGTTTTTATAGTAGGAGTGATATGAATGTTTATAGTTAAAAGTTATCTGTTAGTATTTGCTTGAATAAGCTTTTCGATGTGAACTGACATTTACTAGAGAACTATTGAGAAATAAGGAGTATTATAGAGTAAACATTTCATACTAGTTTAACAGTCCATATGACCGTATAATAATCGTCGCAGTTTCTCAAGTCCGTACAATATCATCGGTTTTTTGAGATAGAGCCGAATGATCCACATTCTTATTTTTCTTATTTTGGGATATTAGGTGACCAATATTCAGTAGTATAGGTAAGTTACAATTATACTTTTTGAATCATGGCTTTCAACAAGAGGTCTCAAACGTGATTTCTACTGGGGGCAGTTAACATCAGTTCACGATAAAATATTTCTTCATAAATATGAATAGTTATTGAGTAAATGATTATTTTTCTAATTAGGTTGAGACAATCGGTGATGCTTATATGATAGCATCAGGATGTCCAACACGTACAGATTATCATGGTCCATTTATTGCTGAGATGGCACTCGATATGGTTGAGTCAGTGCAAACAGTTAAAGATGAATCTAAAGATCCACCAGAAAGTTTACGAATACGTGTTGGTAAGTAAAATCAATCACATTGTTTTTTTTTAATTTGTGGAGTTAAACAATTTGATTTTTGAAAGGTGAACGAAAATCAATTTTTCATAACAATAGTTTTAAGTTTTTACAATTCAGATTCATTGTTACACTAATCGTTAGAAAACTGTATTGGCAATCATAGTATTCTGGGTACCGTTATAAATCCCAGCTTTAACAGAGGTAGCAGTACTAGACATTCAGTCAACAGACTTAGTAACTATATAGTTAGAGGCATTTTACGGTGAGTAATTTATCTAGGTTTATTAGTGGCTAGAATTCGTTGGTAATAGTGTATCCATAATTATCAAGTCCAATCCTCTTCATGTCTAAACCTGGAACTTTATTACTGTTCACTTTGACCAATGATTGACCTCACAGAAGACTGAGATGTTCACACTTGTTGATCACTTAGTAGTAAACTATTTCGTGTTGTACTGATCAAAGTCTATCATCAATGTAGCTAACATCGGTTCACTAACATGGTTTCATCAGAGTTGTATATTTTATAATGTAAATATTTATTATGACATCAAATTATTCAGTCTAATTTCTTAAATAAGATTGAAAATACAACAAGCATAGTTAAAATACAGTAATATCAAGTGATTAGCTGAAATTATTGTTAAATTTAACTTGACAGCATGTAGAACCTTTCTACAGAATCATTAATATAATCTGTGTTTTAAGTCACCTACTGGGTAGATAGCAAGCACTCTAGTTCTTCAACACTTATATACATTTGCACTAAGTGATTCTAGAGATTGTTGGATTTCATTGAAATCTTAAACCGATCCAAGTTAAATTACCATTAGAAACTTCGAAGCACCGGATGGCCGTTTCGTCCTAGTATGGGACGTGACTCATGCAGTTCAACCCTATCGGGTGTGATGCAATTACACATCAAAGACAATGGATGAAGTTGAGCACAATCCTTAGATTTATCAAAGTTAGACATTACCAATGGTATACCGGCTAACTGTCCTAGAGTTTAAGCGTTCAGACGCGAAACCTTAGGTCCTGGGTCCGATTTCCATAAGCATGGGGTCGTGAATACTCACTGTTGATGAATCAGTCTCATACTAAGACGAAAGAGCTGTCTAATGCTTCCAGATGGCCTAACAATGATTGATTTACGATTTGTATTGTAAAACAACAATCTTCATGACTCTATAATGAAGGAAAAACTACATGTACGTATTTAAATTTCGTTCATTGTAATAATTAAAAAAAAATGAAATCACTTCAAAATAAAAAAAGGAGAATTCTCTGTTGACTATTGTATTGACACTTGAAAAAGTACATAATTAAAACAAAATAACAAAGATTAAATTGTTTAAAATTCGCTACTGAATGAATGAATGAATACAGTGTACTATTTGAAAGATACTTGACCGAACGATTAAAATGAAAAATAATTGCAACAAGAAGAGAGCATAGGAGGAGGAATAAAGAAACAAAAGATTTTTTTGCGTGTTTCTCGCTAATTAATTGGGATTTTTTTTCCACAAATTATGAGGTAGTCACATTATTAAATTCAGTTGAAAATAATCTAAAGTGCCTATTTGCTCAGTGTAAATTTTTGTATGAACTTGCTAAATTTGATAGACTTCTTAGCTGTTTGAATGTAAGTTGTTTTTTTTCTGGGTTATTCGTTTTTTAAAGTACCGTTATACAACAATATTAAACAATGAGTAAGATTCAGTTGTGTACATCATTAGTGAATCAAGTAAAATTCTTATTATTGGTTTTTATGAACAACATCCATTTTAAATTAGTTAACGTTCAGTTAACTTACTGGATATAATGCATTGGATGTTTTAATTGGGATATATTAGGTTCACGTCAGAATGTGGACATCAACACTCGGACGGATACACGACGAGCCAATGAGCCCTGAGTAAGATAAAACGTAACCAAAATCTATGTATTCTTAAACAATGATGTTATAAAATGAGGCAATGAAAATGTTCTACACTATATGATGTCTAGTAAAATGAAACTTTCCTGAATTCTTTCTAAACAGATAATATTTGAATAGTCATACATAGATTCAACAAACCAGTTCTCCTCATCATTTCGAATGAACTTGGTTAATTTGCGGAGCTTCTATTTACAAACGATTGTTCCAAATCACTTTCATCATATTCCAAATAGTATGTAGGTGTTGTATGACACTAACTAAATTGATTTCCGAATTATTTTTGTGCTTTTAATACAAAAAAGGATGAACTACATAATAACTGACAATATGAATTGTATTTTGATCACATTTTATAATAAAAAGCCTTGTAATTCTGTAATGAAGAACACATGTGAGGGCAACCAAATTGTATTTAACGCAAATTACAGGGTTACTCAGTAAAATAGGAAAACCATATCGTAAATCGTTAATTTGCAAATCTTCAATCCATCATCAATCCATTGTCTGACATTTCACTATTCATGCGTTTCATACAAATTCCATTGTGTTCCCACTGTTCCTTTCTTGATCTTACCCCATCTTCTGCTGCCAGACATTACGTTTACACTCGCGTCATATACTACTTATAAGTAGCGCGCACCACAATTCGAATGTTATGTTTCAAGACAACTACTCTTTGATCTTAACTTATGATTCATTGTGGAATTCGTTCAGAGTCATAGTCTAAACGACATATAATGTAAATGTAAATATGCTAAGTTCAATGGAGTTTGAATTACTAGCTAACAATGTGAAAGTGTTACAAGAAAAAAAATTTTCAATTTTGTTATTATTGTACAGTACTATTATAATTTATAATCATACAGAAAATATTAAACTATTTTTCATGCTTTATTGATTCCGCAACATTTTTGGAGAAAAAAAAATTGACTTTCTACAATTTTGAATCTCACTTAAAATTTCTTTTCTTTGTTTAGAGAATGGTGCTTCTAGTGCAGTACTTAAGTCAATCTGTTATGTAGACCATCATTTTCTTTATCAAGTAGTTGTTTTAGGTCACTAAATCGATAGAATTAAAAGATATAGTAGTGCTATGTCTGATGAAAAGATTTCTGACGGACTGTAGAATTTCCAACGAGCATGAGGAGTTAGTCAAAAAAAAGTGTGGGGTGAAGTAGAGCATAAGAATATAAGATCTCCGTATACATATACATATCATTTAGTGTCAACTAACCTTAATTATATCAGAATGGGTAATTATTATAAGCTCAGCAGATAATAATACTTTAACAGACAGAACGTTACTATAAATTTGTAACTTTATCATTCTATTCTTCTTTATATCAAAACCAACATCAACAGATAAATGTAAATACAAAAACTAGATAATTTTTTGATAGGAAAACATCTGTTTATGGTTTTAGAAATGTATCAATTGATAATTAAAGATTGATTAATTCATGTTAGATACTTTCATGGTTATTCTTTTTTACATATCAATATATATATATATTCAGGTATTCATACAGGACCAGCTGTGGCTGGTGTTGTAGGTGTAAAAATGCCACGTTATTGTTTATTCGGTAGTACAGTTACAACATCAGAACTAATGGAACAAACTAGTTCAGTAAGTTTTGATATTTTATATGAAACTAGTATAGTAAGAACAGTATATATACACTTGTTTGTATGAATATATATATATATATATATATATATATATGGGAGGGTGTACGATCCGGCTGACCTTGTGGGACAAACTCGATCTTTAACTTCATGTGGGGTCCGAGGGCTCCGGTCGATTGTATCAGCGCAAGGCAGTTGGAGGCCAGACGATTGGAACGGCTGCTGGCTAGTGCACTTCTGGGTGGCTCGGTGATCCGTTCGGGGTGCTAGGTCTAGCTGGGAAAGCCCGCCTTGACGATTGGGAATTGTGGGTAGTTGATCGGTTGGAAGGATCTTGTTGATTTTATAAGTGCCTGAACTGGGGTCATTGCTCTTGTGTGTGCTTTTTGGACGTCCACTTGTCTTCAGACCAATCAAGACAACATGTGCCTTCCCGTATGGGGCAGGGGTGATTTCAAAATTGGCTTTGTGAGAACCCTTGTGTTGCTTAAAATGCAGCGGCGTGCATGTGCAGCAGGCTTGTTGGTTAACCAAGAATAGATATATATATATATTACCTAGGCTTGTTACCCTCAATGAATCATAGGCCTCCGACCAATGTTTTCCAACCTTTTCTGTCCTGGGCTTCCCTTTCCAGTTCTGTCCAATTTTCGTTCATTCTTCTCATGTCTGTCTCCATTTCTCGGCGTAATATGTTTCTTGGCTTTCCTTCTTTCCGTTAGATCTGAAAATTCCAGGTGAGGGCTTGTCTTGTAACGCAGTTGGGTACCTTATTCACTGTATGTTCTATCCACTTCCACCACTTCTTTCTGATTTCACTCTCCACTGGAATCTGGTTTGTCCTATCTCACAGGAGTTTGTTGTTGATAGTTTCTGGCCGGCGAATCCTTATTATTTTGCGTAGACAAATGCTAATGAACACTTGAATCTTCTGGATGATGGCTTTCGTAGTTATTCAAGTTTCCGCCTCATACAGTGGAGTTGTCTTGACATTTGTATTGGAAATTCTGATTTCGGCGTTGGTCAAGAGCTGTTTTAAGTTCCAGATATTGTTCCGTTGTAAAAATGCAGCCCTTGGTTTGCCAATTCGCGCTTTCATATCTGCATCAGATCCAATTCGGTCGTCGATGATGCTGCCCGGATATGTAAGGGTTTTAACTTCCTCCAAGGAATCTCAATCAAGATTGATTTGTTTGGCGTATGTTGTATTGTATCTGAGAATCTTGCATTTCTCTTTATGTATGTTGAGATCTGCTGCTACTGAGACTTCTGCTACATTAGTCGTCTTCTCTTGTATTTGTTGTTGCGTGTATGATAGAAGAGTTAGATCATCTCTGAAGTCCAGATCACCTACCTGTATCCTCTCTGTCCACTGTATACCATGCTTCCCTCCAGATGTTGACGTCTTATATGTATATTATATAACATTATAGATCAGTAAAGACTAATACACCAGTTTATTTTTAAGTTTTATGAAGTAACCTTAATGATAAATTTTGGTTTAAATAAACTATTAATACAATTTAATAATAAATTCTATCAATTTATTAAATTTCTGTATAACATAATTTTGAAATTAATTAATTTTTTTTTCAACAAACTAATGATGATATCTTTATTGTGAGGTGAACCAAAAATTTTATTAACATGAACTGATAGATTAGAGAAATTTTATTCAAAGGAGAGCTGGACACAATACTAAAACTACGGAAATATATTGAGATCTTGGGTCATAATGTTATTATAGTAAAGGGTTACCGAGGACAACCACTTGAAGGTCATCCGTTCATATTCGACTTCAACTCAGCTTTCTACTTCCCTTTCACTCATCATCATAGTATCATTTTAGCAGATCATTTGAGGATATATTGTCCATATCTTATTTTCATCAAAGAGTTGTGGAGATTCTTGAGTCTCATTGAAATCATGAATCAATCATTGTTAAACCACCAATATAAACCTGGAAGCACTGGAAGGCCGTTTCATCCTAGTATAGGACGTGGCCAGTGAAGTTCAAACATGTTCGGTTTGTGGCAGTTACCTACTTAGAGGGATTAATGAGTGGAGTTGCACAATATCGTGGAGTGATTGAAGTTAGACATTATCGCCAGCTCAGCGGTCTAGAGGTTAAGCGTTCGAGCATAAGACCTAGGGTCTTGAGTTCGATTCCCGTGATCCATAGTCATGGATGTGCACTGCCGACAAGTCTCATACCTGGACGAAAAGGCCTTTTCCAGTGCTTCGAGGTTTCTAATGGTAGTCTAACAATGATCGATTCATGATTTCAACGAAACCGAATACATTGTACAATAATGAATACAATCAGTATGATGATATTATATTTTAGTACATTGAGATTTGAATAAACGTGATCAATTAATAATTAGTTCATTTTTATTTCTTTTAATCTTGTTGTTTAGATGTGTTTAATAATTTTTTTTCAAATTCTTTTTATCTATTTGATGAATATTATAAAAGATCAAAATTTAAATTAAAAGATTCATCTCTTTACTGACAATTATTAAAAATTATATTTCACCTACAGATAACATAATAAAAAGGCAATAATTATCTTTTCTCTACTGCAATGAATTTATTTAAAGTAGAAAGAAATGGCGCTTTTTCTTCCTGAATTATATAGTTGTTAAATTAAAGAAATCAATAGAGTAATGAATACTTGGGGAGTTTCTACTTAAAGACTCTCGTTATCGGTGTACACTGTGATGTTCATTGATTGACTCCATTCGGATGTATTTCCTGTACTTCAAACATCGACTAATCCAAATGTGCAATGGCGGTATGAAAGGTGAAATATGAAATTTACCGGAAAAGAATATACATTTCAAGCATCCGTATAGATCAACAGCCAGTAACAATAGATGAAATTGGAAGTAGGTTGTTGATTCAAAAATCATACATTACTCAAACAATGTATGAATTACAGATGAGAAGATCGATAACTATTTAAACTATACATACATACAAACAATTGATATACTCCATTCTTACTTGAGTAGAAAAATCAATAGTTGATTGAATGATTACAGTTAAGGAAAAAAATCCATGGGGTCAGAATTAACTAGTTTGTATTTTTCAACTTCAATACTAATTATCAAACATAAATCAATAATCGTAAGTTATAGAGTAGGATAGTTTATTTTAGCTAAGCGTTTTATGAGCTTAGTTCATAAATGATCATGAAAATTTTTGTAATTCTCTTTTCTTTTTAGCCTCAAAGAGTACAAGCTAGTGTGAAAGCATATGAAAATCTCTCGAAATATGGTGTTTATGATTTAACTGAGAAAGGAAGAGTTGAATTGAAAGTGAGTAAATTTGTTGGTTTTTTATTCCATTACTAGGTTTGTTAGAATGATTTATACTAAAATTCATAGAGTTTTTCTAACAACTGATTAGTTAGTGAGTAATGGCTGATGTAATACTTGTTAAGTCGAAATTCTGTTGATCAGGTTGAAATATGGCCACAAATCTATGTGACTCTTCATCGCGTGCATTACGTTGCGATGCAAAGTGACGGTCAGAGATAGTCGACAGTAGACTCTAGACCTTGATTAATAGGGTTCAATCAACATTTAAAAGGGCTTAACATACATGACATTGGTCACTGACTACTCAATGATCAATCAATTTGCAAATACATTTCAGTCCTACAGGAGGTTATTCACTGCTAGACTAGCTTAGCGGTAGCGTCTCTGACTGGGAATCAATGATGATTACAGGTAACTCTTGCTGACGAGTGCCAACTTGCACGAAATCTAGGTCCATGGATTCTCTTATCAACTACCTCCAACCACCACCTTACATCTAAATATAAGTTTATGTAGATGTGTGGAAAAGCGTATTCACATATTTAGAAAGATAATATGTCATTTAAACGTTTGCATATAATTAAATGCTTTCCACTACTTTGTCTGTCATAAGGTGATAACAACAAATTTCATTCCAGTTGAATAAATTGATGATAACTATAACTTAGTAGCATAAGGGTTTTAAAGCTGTAGGTATTGTGTTAAGTCTCACTGGAATACAGATATATCTAGCAAACGAATTACAAATAGAACGAAGTGAATTTCCTAAATTTCACTGCTGATTACTTTTCAAAATATTATTAACTTGTAAATGCAATCCGTATCAAATAATCCAAGTGAATAGATCATATTCCAAGGAGAACTGATCAAATTTCAATTATGAACACTAACAGCCAGGAATAAATGAACCTTTGATCAGTTTAAATAATCAATTAACCAATCGGTTCATCGGTCACTACATTCTCTACAGTTATTCAAAAAGAGAATCATATTTTGAACAGTTAATTCAGTGAATAGTTGACTTTAGTTAAATAACAATGAATGAATTAAAAACTAGTTGAAAGTAATTTATCCAATGATGATATATTGTATTTGATAGAAAATTTTTGTTGTTGAAATAAATGTTAACTCCTATTATCGTTGTAATGTAAGATATAAATATTTATTGGTGTTGAGTTGAACAGAAAGAAGCAAAGAACTATAGATTTACTTTGTAACCTTAAATTTTTATTCATAACTCTCAGAGAAATAATTCAGTGAAACTATTTCGATTAGAAAAAATTTTTACTTGTGAATAAAAGCTTTGATTTACACAAATACACTTATTCAATTAAGTAAGTGTTAAGTTGAAGGAAACTTTAGTTATATAAAATTAAGAATTGAATTTTTTTTTCAAGTAAATTAAAATATAGTAACAGTGCTCACTAGTGACTAGCTTCGTAAGGAAATTCTCGGAGTTCTAGTTGAGAAGACGTGACTGATGGGGTTCAACCCTGTCGGGTGTAGGCAGTAACTATCAAAGACAAATGGGTGAGGTCGCACAAAATCTGTAGATTGATCTGAGTTAGATGCTGACGCCGTTGGATGCCGGCCCAGTGGTCTGATGGTTAGGCGTTCGCGCACAATACCGAAGGTCCTGGGTTCGAATCCCGTGTGGTGCAGGAGTCGTGGATGCGCACTGCTGATGAGTCCCAGACCAGGAAGAAACGGCCGTCCTGTGCTTCCAGGTTTCTAATAGTGGTCTAACAATGATTAATTGATGATTTCAAATGTGTAAAAAAAATTAAATGCTCCAGTGATTTTCGTATAGAAAGATTTGGTTAAACGGTTGAGAAATATAATTTTATAAACTATATTCACCTTGGTATGGGATTGTGGAAATTAGTTGCATTTTATCAAAACCATGAATAGATCGAACTTAGACCACTAGTGAAAATATTGGAAGTACTAGAAGGCTATTTCGTTCGAATATAGAATTCTCCAAAAGCTCATCGCAGACCTCATCACTGAAAACTCCAGATTTGATTTCCAGTTACCGGAATTATGGATGCACTCTACTGAAGAATCCTCTATTAGGATGAAACTGTTGTCTATTACTTCCATTTCGGTACGTAATCTTCATAATCTTAATCGCATCGGTTTTCGATCACTGAATCGAAGTGTTTGAAAATATATCAATATATTCATGATTGCATTCTTAATGGAAACATCAATACGGAGATTTAGTTGTACATATAACAATCCTTATCAATCATAAACTGTTTTATTGTTGGTTATTTTCAAACTGAAATATTGATAATTGAACAGTAATTATTGTTTTAAAAAGCTGTTTTATTCTTCTTCTTCATCTTCGATTATCTATCAAAAAAGGATGGTGGCACCATACTCACCTATTGGTTAAACGGTAGACAAAATCCATCAGATGATGAAAAAACTGCTAAATTCTTAGATGAATTAAATACTGAACGTGAACGAATCGCTGATTCCAATATGGCTTCATCACAACAACGTTCTGGTGAAAGTTGGGAATCAGTAACAGCTAGTCGTTGTAGTTCAGCTAGAACATTGGCATCAAAACGTAGTTCTTTGGCATTTTCACAACGTGCCAGTTTAGCTGATCAAGGAATTGATTTAAGTACAATGGCAAGAATTAAAAGTCTAGCAGAAACTAATAATAAACGTTCTAGTATTGGAAAATAATAGAATCAAATGCAATTGAACAGCATGAAATTGACAAATGAACAATAGAGAAACAGTTAGAATGAAAGTGCAAGAAAGAGAAGAGTTCTGTATTCTTTGTTTTATTGAAATTCACTTGAATTATTTCAATGTACTTTTTATTCTTCTGTTTCTTTCTCTTATTATTATTAATAAATATATATATGATTTAACTGAATTGAGTAAAAAAATATGTTTATAATTAAATAAGAAGAATATTCATTTAGAGTTATTATAATTTGTACGTATAATTGACAATGATTATTATCATTATTACCAGTATTATTAGTGTTACAGAGAAATGATTAACAAAATAAAATTTTCAATTAATGCGATTTTTTTTTTGAAATTTTAATGAGTGAGATTTAATTTATTGATTTATAAGTAGAGTTGTTTAAAATGATCATATTTTATGAATTACCTTTGATAAAATAAATTTTATATTGTTACAACCAGCGAAATATTTGCATCTGAATACTGTCTAATACGGTAGAGATTTAGAAGAGTCCACTTGTGGTGTGAGCTACTTATAAGTAGTATATGACGTGAGTGTCAACGTAATGTCTGGCAGTGGAAGATGGAGAGAGATCAAGAAAGGAAGAGTTAAAAAACAATGGAATTTGTATGAAACGCATGAATAGTGACAATGGATTGATGTTTGGCAACAGGAACAGTCCAGTTCGATAGGATGGACTGATAATTTGCAAATGAACGATTTACGATATGGTTTTCCAATTTTAGTGAGTAACTCTGTAATTTTCGTTAATTACAATTCGGTTGCCCCACCTGTGTTCTCGTTCACTACACGCTCTCTATCTATCTAGATGTTCGCATACGGCCATATAAGTATCGCTACTGCTGGGAAAATTGGATAGACGAAAAGCAAAAGTTCGATGCTTTTATCGGGGATGATGGATAATGGGGGAACTACTTAGGGGAGTTTAAAAACCAGTGGTGCACATGGACCCTAGGATCCTGGTGGAACGAGTAACATACCTATTGTTTGTCACCGACTACCAACGGATTGAATCTCATGAGGATTAGACCGCTAGGTTAAAGTCTTAAGGATTGGTCCCCTATGAAAATCAGCAGTTTCGGTTTGAGCACTCGGAATGTATTTCAGCGTACACACAAATTTAATGACAGCTATTTGGTGTGGCGAGTACATATTTTGGTGTCCCTTTGTGCTAATGTTTAAATAAATTAAAGTGATCGGTTAACAATATTATGAAAAGATGTAGTATGGTCAAGTGATGGCTCTTCATGAAAACAAATTGTTGACATAAGCCTTTTTCAGTATCAAAGTCAAGATCATTAGTCACAAGAATTAATTATCTATTGAATAAAATCTCAAAGTTATGAAAATAACGATAATATGTCATAAGTGATTGGAGGATATCACTTCGTAAGTCACTCATTTTTTAATCAATTTAGACCTACCTGACTGTTAGACCTGATTCTTTCTTGTCAAATCAAAGCGGACTAGTGATCTTCTCGAGACAAGCTCCTAAATTCTCAATCAAATAGATTTGAAGAAGTAGTGATAATTCACTGACTGTAACAGCGAATAACACGCGGGAAGGATAAGTTCATTCAAGATTACAAATAAATCTATGTAAATAGTTCCTACTAACAGGAAATCTAAAACTGAAGCTTTTCTCTGTTTTATATCTCTCCAAACACCTAATACTTCTTAACTGATGTAATCAGGTATACAGATATCAGGTATGTAGAAATAAATAAACCCTCTCACTGCTACTAATGATTTTCAGATGATTCAAAAGTAAATAATTCAAAGACTGATAAATTTTCGTTTTAATGCATCTGACAACTAACTACTTTCTAAAGACAAACACTAGATTCAGTTATTTATTTGTCAATAAACTAAACTGATTAGTTAACGAATTGTTGAAACTAAAATTGGCTGATATCGGAAAAAATTGATATTGGAAAATTAAAGAGAACTGCACAGTGGTTGTGTTCTAGGTTGAAACATTTGAAATATGAGCACTCATCATTTTCGCAGTACCTAACACAATCGGAGTATTCAGGTATCTTGGTGAAAGTTGTTAACTTAATTGCTAACTACGTCCTACTATATGAATGCGAAACATCACCAGTCAGAGTGAAGGACATTCGTAGGTTATTAGTATTCGATTACAGATGTCTTCGAAGCATTGGTCGTATATCCTGGGACACTCGAGTGAGCAACGCCATTATTAGGAATCGGGTGCTAGGTAAGAATGGCAGATCAATAGATGAAGTGCTGAAACTTCATGAGTTGAGGTGGTTGGGACATGTCTTGCGTATGCCTAACCACCGACTGCCTCGAGGACCTATGTTTTGCAGTGTAGGAGAAGGTTGGAAGAAAGCTATCAGCGGCCAGACCAAAACATGCCCGAAATCCATGAAGTCACTGACAAGCGGACAGTCATGTTGGTAGATGTAGACTACCTGGTTGGTGTCCGCGAGACAAAAGTCACCGATGGTTAGAGACCTTGAACGACATGGCTCAAAATCGTTTGCAATGGCGCACGTGCATTCATTCTTTGTGTTCTCTCAAATTCCAACCTTTTGAATTCCTTATCATCTCTATCTCTGTCCTTCTTAATTTATCTCACTGAGTTATACTTGGAACACTAATCTTCTCTCCATCAGCAGTAATAGTTCTACTATCGCTACTACTATGGAATTTGAACTGACAGTTGCGTCTCTGTGCTAAGGTGGTATGGCAACATGAACTTATGTATTCATGTACGAATTTCTATGTTGTAACCGACTGACTGAAATGAAATAATTCATATGTGATTGTAATACTGAAACCATATCATGTGAAAACGATAAAAAAATAAAGATTGTGTAATGTGACTAAAGGAGCAGTGTAAAACTAGCAATATATATATATATATATATATATATATATATATATATATAATGTAAGCTAAGAAGTGTTTACAACGAGTGTTGACTTGTATGATTTCCATTCCATAGTAGGCAAGAACAACATTAGCGACCAATGAATGTTCTTTGGTTATTTAAAACGATTCTCCAATTAAAGTCAGTTTATATTATTGTAAACAACAAAATTAAGTAAAACTCTTTGTTTTTCTTCATGAAAAATAACCGAAAAAAAAACAAATAATCATGAAAAGAAGAAGGAAAGGAAAAAAAACCCTAGTTATGATAAATAAGATAGTTTCACATTGAAAATAATTGTAAAAAAAGATTTTTACAGTTTATAGGATTATTGATTATTTGTATGTTGTGTAGTCTTTATTTTCTAACAATTTTTTTGATGGCTGACAAGATATGAAATGAACTAACTGTTGGGGATATTAGATCTCCAGAAATCCCTTGATGAATATCTTTATTTTGGATTTATTTCATGGACCGATCAGTTGACCTTGAGATCACATTTCCCACCAGGAGAATCCTTAGCTGTGATTGGTTACTGTGTCACTTTAGTGTGCTATTTTTGTGACTGTCCCAAAAACGTCCCTATAGAGTATAAATAAACGCAATTTGAGTGCTTGGATTCATTGTTTGCTGGCTGGGTGTTTGTAGAATACACTTTCTATTCTGTATCATGACTTCTTACTGGTACAATTAGGACAGTCGGATCACAGTAGCCTACCTGGACGCTGGTTCATTGTTTTGTTCTCGTCATTCGCCTAAAGTGAGCTCGTAATAGTTTTAAGCATACCTACAGACGAGTGTAACACTAACTAACCAACTAACTAACTAACTAACTAAACAAAACTGGTCATCTCAACCAATAAGAAGAATCCATTTGACCCAGTTCGTACAATAAAAACAAAAGTATGCAATTATCTGAAAACACAGTGGTATTTGAAATCACCATTAATAATAATAATAATAACAATAATAATAATAATAATAATAATAATGTTGCTTAAAGTGGTGATGATAATAAGATGAACAAAACTGTTTTCCGCTTTCCCTGTCTTAAATTTTTGCTACTCATTGTTTATTTACATAGGATAGCAAAGAGATGTTGTCACGCCGTAATTATTTATTATAAAACGGTCAATAATAAACTAGAGTTGGAATCTTTTTCCAAAAAACCTGCTAGAAATCGGTAATCATAATAATAATAGACGCGAAAACCCAGTCAGTTAGAAAGTCGTACGTACGTACGTCAGTGCCAGTTGCTATACCCCATCAGCATGGAGGCGCGATTGTCAAATCAAATCTCATAGTAGTACAGCTAGAAGTATTAGCAGTAATCAGAAAGATTAATAATCGAATATATCATTCAAGATGTATACCGTAGAGGAATCGATTAAAAAAAGAGAAAAAACGATCATGAAGAATTCAGAAGATTAGGATTTGAGAGAATACTAAGAATGGATGCAACTGAGGACGTGAAAATTATATTTGCATTTACCATAAACTACAAATCCGAATGTATTAAGCTTAGACTCAATCATTTATGGGAGAGAAGACTTTGAGTGACCAAACAAATTGTTCTTTGATCCAATATATATATATATATATATATATATATATATATATATATATATATGTATAGAAACACCTAGTTAAATAGCATGTATAGTAATTAATTTGCAACAGTGAAAGTCACTATCTCTGCTTGTTCACTTCAGTGATGATTACTGTAACTTGAAAAAATTCTTATATTTGTATTGATATCCCATTCGTTTAGTGAAATTATAGCGATATTAAATCTTGAGCGTACTTAGTAGATTTCCCTTCCTGAAGTTATTTTACACTCACACCAAGTCTTTCATTAAATGAATTAATTGATCGAAATAAAAGCTATTCAAATCAGTAAGGCATAGATTGACCTAACACATGTATAACAGAAGACATATTACAGTAATTCTGGTTACTGTTTTGCTTTCTTTCCTCTAGTAGTAAACAGATAGTTGCAATCAATATCTAAAGACACTGGAGTTGCCTTTCGGCATACAGTATACATCAACAGGATGTCTTAATCTTCCTTGATAGAGTTATTGGCTTACAAATGCAGTCTGACATTATAATCCTTATGACCAACTTACTCCTCTCAAAACAATTTACGAACCGAATATTTTCAAATAATTTAACCTTAAATCTCTGTACTTTTCATGTAACATTACTTACTACTAAATCAATGTGATTATGCAAGTAAATTGGCATGTATTCTGTAATTATTTCCAGGAAGTAACCAGTAACTTTTGTAATATTCATTATTCGAATGGTAGCAAATAGGGGTCGATAAGACGTTCTTCCCTTTAAAGTACTAAGTCAGCGTCCTACACAATAGACTAGCCAGCGGTGTAAATGAACCTCTATCATATAACAAACATAATTCAGTCAATAATATTTCCTCAAATGTTGGATAAATAACTCAGTGTTACCGTTTCATTTAGTGATTCAGTTTCGCTTATTGAAATGACTATATCGATTAGGAACTTCGTCAGCAAGTTATTGAGTAACTTTCTCTATGATTTTCATCATAGATTTCTGAAGATCGTTGAGCTCCTTTGAAGTTGTGCGATATCTAGAATTGATTATGGTTTAACACCGCTGAAAGCCGGCTCAGAGGTTACGCGTTCGCGCGCAAAACCGTAGGCTCTGAGTTCGATTCCACCATGCGGAGGGTTGTGGGTTAACACTGCTGACAAGTCGCATACTAGTACGAAACGGCCGTCTAGTGCTTTCAGATTCCTCATGGTGTCCTAATAATGATCGATTTGTGATTTCAATGAAAATCACAATTGATTAAAATTTATTATTTGGTGGATAGATTGATCTAAACTATTGAAGACGATGATTTCATCCCATTTTTTTTAACCATTTCGTTCGTACTCATATTATTTACTTATGATCGAAGTTGTAGATTCAAGTCAATAACTCTAGCTTCGCATTAGAAACTAGGTGTGATAACTTTATCCCTTTCCTGATTGAAGACTTTGAAAACAATTTCTATCAATTGTTTATTCTCTTACTTTTTTATGAAATCATTCCGTATTTGCCTTCGTTAGACAGTTGTAGGGAATAGGTACGAAAACTGGAATCCAGGTTTTATGCTAGTTGGCGCTCGTCAGCAAGGAGCACCTGAAGTGATGAAAGGACTAGTGATTCGTATGAAGCGCTGGATGATTATTAATCACCTGTCTGTGTTATTGTTCGTTGCTGATCGAATCTTATGGATGAAGTTGTAGTGTGGTCACTAGTTTGAGTAACTCAACACGGTGCGCATTATTCTGAAATATTGAGTGGTTGAAGGTATTCGAGAAGAGATCTTGAGTACAGGCTTTTTTTACCAATGAATTTAAGTATTGACTATCCATATGCCTTGTCATTTGATACAGTACGTGATATTTAACAGAATCTCTAGGAAACATAATGATTATTCATAATGGCGCATTCAGTTCATATACTGAAGTAGCAAGAAAGGACTAAGTTAATTCACTGAATTAATACTTATCTACTTACTTACTCACCTCATTTTAACTAGTAGAAATAAAAGAAAGGCTGTATAACTCTACGGATATTAACTAGTTTTGCTGTTCGTATAAAACCAATGTCAGTTAAACACCATGCAGTTGTATCAGTGAATTTTTGCATATCACCCATTACATACTAAGTGAGCATGTAGTATTAATCAATATAATACTGTGGTTTCACTGGTGCAGACTGAATTCTAGCGATTTAGTTCCAATTTGATCACTTATCTAGATGACTTGAAATTATGGAGAATATTTTTTGTTGTTAGAATACAGCGCTACCTTTCGATTGAATCTGGTCATTTAGATTTTCAAATAAATAAGTAAACAGAAATTTTTCAATGTTAATGAGAACCAATAGTATCTCTATTAACAACACATATTTCAGATATCATATTCATCATCTAAGTGACATGTGATATTTTCACAAATAAATAATAAATATGTATATGTTGTTTAAATTTACAAAATACCAGAAAATTATTGTAACAACCAATCAGTTGTCAATTGTTTTTTGATGAAGCAGTGACCCTTGTTGTCATATTTTTTTTTCTTTCGAAAGAATATAATGTATGTAACAGGAATACAATTGTACACAGTTTAACATGTAAACTTCATGTGGAGATTTAGGTTAGACGATGTTAAAAAATTGGCAGTTTTTACCTTGTTAATATATCAATATATAAGTCAATGTTTGACAAATACAATCATCTGTTGAATGCTGACTCAGTGATCTAAAGGTTAAGTGTTAGCACATGAAACTGATAATTCCGCCTAAAACACTTCAAGGGTTGCTGCCGGTCCCAAGCCTAAATAAAGGTGAAGGGTTAGCGACCTCATCTCGTATAAATTCAACTCACTAAAAAAAACGCTAGGCAGAAAAATAATTCGCTGGTCAGCTGCCTATGCTACATTACGGGTAACAGGCGTGAAACCGAAGGTGTTAGGTGTTCGATTCATGCATGCATACAGAGTCGTGGATACAGATTGTTGATAAGTCCATACTAGGCTGTTTTAGTGTTTTCAGGTTTTCAAATGAAAATCTAACAAATATCAGTTGATAATTTCTACACAATTCAACAATTATTATTAGAATTAAATATTTTATTAAAGGGATTTTATTTTATTTTTTCTTTTACATATCAAATTAAATCCCACAAATATGATCTTTTTTCAAAGTAATTAAGATGCAAAAGTTTTTTTTTAAAATACATATAGTTAGTAAAAAAAGAAGGCAACAATACTGTGAAACAAATAGAGGCAGTAGGGAGTGATGAAAATTCAATGATTAATTAATTCACTAATTAACTAAATAACTAACTAACTAACTAACTGACTAACTAATCATTGTAGGTTTCAGTAGAAGAAAAAATAAACGTGTACAAACAGAAAACAAAAACATAAAAATGATGATGATTTTACATGGAAGACGGGTATTTAAAAAAAAAAACTTGAAGATTATTAATTCATTACCAATGAAACAACCACATTATACACAATAAACAAATTGATTAACATGAGATCACTAAATTATTGGCCAAACAAAATAAATAATCAAAAAAAAAGTGAATAAACAATTAGAGACACATACAATTTAAATAATTACAGCATTGCAATTGACGATCATCATCATCATCATTTTCTTCAGTTAGTACAATCGATTGTACAATTTATGAACATTCAAACTTTGGATAAGGGGATGATGATGTAAGAGGGAGGGGCACAAAAGAGGGTGGGGGCGGGAGAAATAGTTTTCACGAGACTGTGCATGTACTTATTACTCACAATGAATTGATTTATTCAATAATAGATAAATAATAAACATGAATAAATCAATTTTAAAATGGTGGTCATCAAAAATATTGGTTTAAACAACTATATTGACAATAATAATAATAATAATGAATATCATTAATTGTTAAATAAGGCACAATATATTTCTTCATTCAAAATAAAAAATGACAATAACTACAACTAGAACAAATGATAAGATAAAATTGAAGATCAAAAAAAAATAAAATACAGGTGTACATGTTTGTGTGTTGGGTATGTATGTAAGTTTATTGCTGAATAGAATAGGAGGAGGATAATAGTGAGAGTAAATAAGTAGCACTGTAATAGGTGAGTGTGTGTGTGTGTAACTTTCAAGTAAATAGAATATAGGATAAGAATACACTTACATTACACACACACATACAAATCAATATATCCAAAGTTCATTTCGATCTAATAATAAATTAATAAATCTTCGATAGATATGATCAGGTGATTTTCCTGAACGAACAAAGTTTTGGGGATGCGCAGGAGCGATGAATCAATCAATCAGTTTCACATAATAACGTACAAACCCACATGAATAAAACAGAAATGAACTTTGAATCAGGTCGATCAAGAACGGTTGAGTGGTTACAACAAGGAATATAAAATGAGTTGTACACCGTGTTATATATATATATATATATATATATATATATTTGTTTGGTAAAAATCTAATTATTTTATCGTTTATCCGCTCTATCTATCGTTTAGCTAATCGATATTCTAGTAAAGTACCATAGTTGCCATCATCAACATCATATTTAGCACATAAAGCTAATTGATTTTCTATGCCCCAATAAGATTTTAAACAAACTTGACCAATCCAACAATCATTAACTTTACTTAAATGTGTCCAATCTTCACCGACAACAACAGCAACTGCATGTGCAGTTGGTATAGTGACACGAAATGGTACAGTATCAGCAGTTGGTTGATTTGATCCACTAGGATATAATATACCATCCATTGGTGTATGAAGATAACAGCCTTCCTTCCATTGGGCAAATTGTTGTGGGAAACACATGACTTGACCATTTCTTCCACGATTAACCTGAGTTGCTTCCAAGAGATAATTATAAACACTAGGAAGTGATTCACCTGGCTCTGTATAAGGAAGAGCATAGATTTGAAATTTGAAAAAGCCTGGATGAGGGAAACGTACAATAAAATAGATTTGAAAGTCACGTGTTTGTTGAAGAATCTGAAATGATAGGAAAAATTGGAAAAAAAAGTTAATACCGGAAGTTAGATTAGTGAATTTTTATGCTGAAAAAGAATTAGGTAGTTAACAGAATTAGGTTTTGACAAGTTCTCTCAACTAACAAATATTGTTGGTCTGATGGTTAGTCGAGATTAAAGTTCAAATGGGAAATATCTTTTGATTACAGCAAGAGAACTACTGAAGGTCAGTGACAAGTGAACAACTGTTTCGTCCTACTCTGGAACTGCTAACGGTAGTGCACCCCAATGATCACACACCACCAAAGAACTCCCGGGAAGCGCATTATTATTCTGTGGTTTAATTGGGATCCAACTGTTGTTAACACCTATACATCGAGATACAGCAAAACAATTATATCAAAATTACTAACTGTAGAACTCTGGACATAGTTGAACTCCACCAGCTGCAACTGCTGCTTAATACTTTAGACATTCATCAAGAAAGTAGTCATTAAGAAAAACAAGATTAGTATCTCAGTAGGTTATTTGTAGGAAATCGATCAATTCGAAGATAGTTTTAACTTTAAACTGATGAATATTATCTGTTACTTAGGTGAACAAAATATTTTTTAGGGAAGCGTTTAGTTTTTAACAAACAAAAAGCAGTGATGATTAAGCTAGTAGATTAACAGAAAGCTAGAGGCGGTCAAATCAACACGGCATCAATCCATGAAGACACTGATTGTTGGATGTAGGTAGGTGCAAACTAAATGGTAACGAACCAGGTGATTATAGTAAACAACGGTTGGAGACTTTTGATGATATGGCTGAGAATCGATAGTAATAGTGTTAGGTACAACATTCCATCGTTGTCTTAGCTCAAACTCCATGTATCTGAACTACCTTATCAACTTTTCCGATTCATTTCAAATTGTATATATTTTCTATTACCGCTAATATTGTTACTATGTTAGTTTGAGATTTGTCCCGACAATTTCATCACAATAATAAGGTGTGAGGACTTGATTCGATGCGCACATCTCACAGTTTCTTATGACTAATTGACTGAATTTCAGAAACTGGAATAATGGTGATATTGGAACATGATGCCTAATTGAAGCATCAGCAAGCATGTACTTAGGCTAGTGAGTCATATATATATGACGAAACACCTTCGCTGAACTCTACTGATAATTATTAGCAGTTACTATCATGAAAAGATAGAAGATGAACACCAAGACATCCGTATAAGAAGCATACAGTCGAACAGAAAACATGAGTTGATGAATAAAATCTCCAATAAAATTCTTGAACCGTGCCTAGTCAAATATGTTAGGATATTCACCAGATATCCTTGGAAGAATAGTTTTTTAAGTGTAAACTCTATTGGTCAATATTATGGTCACTCTAGCCATCAATGTCACATACTTCAATGTTGTTTCTTATTGTTCGTCCTGATTATCAGTGTCGCTTCAAATGTTTGTTCCTATTAGTCGCCTTAACTGTCAATGTCACAGACTTCGATGCTGTTTGCTATTCGACCTAGATGTATAAATATGCACTACCTGTAACGTTTAATGACCTGAACCCGGATCCCTAGTCCAGGATCCTGATTCTCTTCTGGACTCGGACCTCGTACTTTCTGGATGTTTGTAGAATACATGTTCTACTTCTTATCAAGTCTTCTTCTTTCACTCAATGGAGGGGGGTCGGGACACTCGGATTAGAGTAGCATGTCATGTCGCCGGATCCTCAATCCTCACTCTCGTTTTCTGACTAAGGTAAACTCGTAATAATTCAAGCATATCAAATTGACATGTTTACATGCATTCGTAACAAAATAAAGTAGAAAATGTTAACGCGCAAAAGAAGAAAAGGTTGGACATAATACAATAATGTATAAAGTAAATAAAAAAATATTTAGCTTTACAAAACATAAAAGTGAATATATAATGAATGGATACAGACATACTTGTTGTGAACAATCTTCCGATACATCATGACTACAATGTATCAATTGTGCCATAATTCGTAAAGGTTTATCAGGATGTCGAGTAAATTGTAAACATAATTCACCTGTATTCGCTTGAATAAATGGATCTGTATGACTTAGCGCTTTTAAACCCATTGAATCAAAACGTGAAACTGGACCTAAATAAGTTGGTGGAATAGTTGGTAGACCACGAACTGGTGAATCACAATCGGATATAATAATATATTGCCATACCTTGGGAGAAGGGTTAGAGAAGATATTGAAAAAAAAATTTACAGAAGAAATTGAAAAACACAAAAAATTACCTCATGTATAACACGTTTTGTTGAATATCTTCATTTTAACGAAAATACTTATCTTCAGTACGAGCCAAACAGTCTGTAAAGCTCCCCACATATATTCGAGTTCGCTTACCTTTAGTTTGGTTAAGCTCTTTTGATTAATTTATTTAGTCAAGCCGTTTGTATTGCAACAATTTATATGTACCATTCGTTCTTATTATTGTCTGGTTTGTATGAGCTCACATGACGTGTCCCATTTGTCATTTGACCTTGACAACAACTATTCGTCACTTTTATTCATGTGTGTGTATGCCTATTTCGCTTGTCATGCTCTATCTCAGGGAGTTGGCTCATTAGCCTTCTCCACATCGCTCCATACGATTCGCTTCCTTCGTCCATTCGTTCGCATTGTAATCCTGGGAGTTGGCTCAACAGCCTTCTCAAATTCACGTCGCTCCATTCGTTTCATTCGCTGCTTCTCCGCTTCGCTGTGTCCCGAATAAACATATTCATCACTACGAGTTCACCTTCTGATTGATATATAACCGTCAGACGCTACTTTGTAACGATTGTCTAGACGAGCTAATTACCGAGCTTAAGAACACGCAGTAAAACGGCACACTACAAGTCAACTATAGATTAAACTACTAGATTTCAAATTATATTCATTGTAAGCAAGTTACATAATACTAACAAACTATCCAATAAGTAATAAGTAGGTAGGTTTGTGTTAAAAAAATATGTTTAAGTGTCAACTGAGTAGATCAATAGGAACTGTGATGAGTTATAAAGTAATTGACAATGCTTGCCAGCAGAAAGAAAATGTTTGAATTAATTTACCTAGGGAATTTACCTATTTTCAACGCAAACTTATTTTAACAGTAACAATGTACAATGATTACGGAGAGAGATCCAACCTAGAAGAATCATAAGGATTATTGATGAAATCGTCAGTGTACACTTAATTCCATACATTTTATAATATAATTTAACTAATTATTTGCTATTAAAGGGCAAATAACACAGGATCAAAGCCGAAGTATTCACATTTCAGTCATTGAATTGTTGGGACAAGAATTGTTAAGACAAGAATTCAGAGTATATATATGGATTTCATATACATTTAGTTTGTTTTATCATCTTGAAGAGAAAGAGCACGGAAAAAGAGATTTAAGCAGAATAGTATGAATTTAGTTTATTTCGTCGATTTCACATCAGCTGCTTACAATTTATAGGAATCAAAATGATCATAAAGTTGACATACTTCTAACCCTAACAGAAGGGGATAATTAACATTATAGTGAAGTATTGATGAAACATAACCCATATGCATCTTACAATATTTGATATCAGTTCAATATAATCACTGTAGATTTTTATCACAATTGGGCATTAGCTCAAACGATCATATCAAATTAACATCAATACGAAAGACGTCTGAACAGTGAACATATGGTTTAGAAAGACAGAATGGAAATTATGCAGGAAGGAATACTAGATCTAAAGATCTATGCCATCCTTTCCAGCTACCCTAAAAGGTACTATTCTTACACGATCTGGATAACCGGTTAGTGACAACTGCTCTCATATCTAAAATACACACAATACATATCATTAGTAAACATACCACAAAGAAAGAATTGCCATCTTTCACAGGATCATTAGCATACACTTCTAGACCGTATTCTCCAGCTTCCGGTAAGAAAATAGCAAATACAGCTTCTGTATTCCCGTTGACATTACGTTGTAGTAAACTTTTTGAAAGAGCATTTTCAGCAACCAATGTACACTTGAGTTTAGCCATTAAACGTGGTGCTGGACAACCTGGTAATGCGCCTAAACCAAAACGTATTTCCAAACTACCACGTACAGCACGTAGTGTACAATCAACACGTTGAGCTGTTATTCGATAATTTTTAGCTAACTATCAATATTATAAAGTAGAAATAAAAAAAAACAGTTGCTTTCTGTACATTTGACTCTCGTTATGAAATGCAAATTATTTGCAAGATACGATGAATTTTTATTGTGTATTTTAGTATTTTATTTTCTATTTACATACAAGTGAATGAGTTGAATGATTACATAGTACTAACATAATTTTGAACAATTACAGATAAATTGTCCATTACCAAGAAATAATGCTGCACAAAACCTTAGATTGATTGGATTTAGACACTAACACCGTTGGACACCAGCTCAGCAGTCTCAAGGTCAAGACCGAAGGTCCTGGATTCGATTCCTGCGAATAGCCTGGAGTCGTGGATGGGCACTGCTGATGAGTCCCATACCAGGACGAAATGGTCGTCCAGTGCTTTGAGGTTTCTTATGGTTGGCTAACATTGATCGATTCATGATTTAAATAATAAGAAATAAGCTGTTTGCAATATAGTCTAAAGAACTTATGCGTTTGAGTTCGATCATATGCCACTTGTTAGATGTGAATACAAAATGGATGCAATGAATACATTTCAAGTGATCAAAAACAAGCCTACTATGACCTTATGAAAATTATCAGCAACCATTTTATTGCATAATTAGAAGGCGTAAACCTGATTTCTTTTTTGTATGTTCAAAAACAGTTAGTATTTAAAAGAAGTAAACTACACCGTTAAACAAGCCTAAATTATACCTCTAATTTCGATTAAAACCTCTCAGATACTGATTATATTACACAAGTTAAGAAATCTTTTTATCTTAACTATCTATTTATTCTAAAATCGACATACCAAACATTTATAAAGCATAATAAATCCTGTTAAAACTTTAATTCCTATAACTGGATTTACATTCCAGACAAGGAATAGTTTTCTTAATGGACAACTTCATTTTTTTTCAAATTCTAAACTAAGTTATGAGTTTGAATTCTATGAGTAAACTGTCAGAAGAGAGATCAACAGAATACCAAATTGAATTCATAATAATCTGTCGATAAAACTGTCATTTTATTTTACATGATAAAAAAAAAATTGATTTGAAAAATAAATTAGAAGGTCAAACATTTTTATTAGTTTTGTGATGGAAATAAAATAGATTGGTTGCGTTGTATTGGGTCCCATATAATCTGACTGTTATAACAGGAAAGCCATTTTGTACGATCGCCCTCTCGCTTGATCGAAAACCTATGAGTTCACATATATTGCTACTACGACAGGTGACCCACAAGGACTAATGCTTATTGGTTTTCAAGATCCTTCTCACCCAGTAAGCAGCCAATAAAAAGACGAAGATGGAATGCAGATTAGTTCTATGCTGCCACGAATTCAACTATGGTTCAAAACTCATACAATAATATACTTGTGAATGTCTAGCAACAGAGCAATAAAATGAAGTTACAATTAATTTATATATATTTATCCTAGTGTGGGGCTCCTCAATCGAGACCAGTGGAGTTCTATGTGTCAGATGTGAGACAGCCATCCACTATAGGTAACAGAGGAAGGCCGTGCAATATCGTGAATTAGACAATAACACCGTTGAATACTAACTCAGATGTCTACAGATTAGGCGTTCGTACAAAACTAAGGGTCTAAGATTTGGTTTTCGCATGCGAGGTCGGGGATGTGCACTGTTGAGGAGTTCCATAGTAAAATAAAATGGCCGTCAAGTGCTTCCGGGTTCAATTATGATTTAGATAGTACCATTTCGTGATATGTAGGCTCGGTACTTTCTCAATTAGATTCAACTAAACTCTTCTAATTCATTGGCATACCTCATTCGGTCCGTAACTTGACGATTGACATGGTGGGAACGGCGGCAATGAACAATTTGAACTAAAATTTGTAACTAATCGATATTCACATACGGCACCAAATAATTTTTCAGCACTTAAATCATCAGAAATCATACTGACTACGCCAAGACCTTCTTTTTGTCCATTTTGATGTGGTTGATGTTGTTGTTTGGCATAGATAAGTAATTTATACGCTCCAGGTCTTGGTGGTCGAATATAGAAAACAGACGTGTGCTCACGTATCATTGTTTCTTGTCTACCGAACCGACTGAAGTAAGAAAATAGAGAAAATAATAATAAAATCTTAGCTGAGAGTATTATGTATATGCGTATGTCAGGGATAACATAGCAGATGTTATGTATTTCTCAACAGTAAGCACTAATAAGGTGAATTTTTTTATTTGGTGGCGTAGGAGTAGGTTGAGAGAAAACAAGAGGGAGTTTGTGTAAGTTATAAAGTCACTAACTATTGCGCTGAACCGTTTTGGTACGTACAGTTTAACAGTTTGCAGTCCGGAAGATTTTCATAACCAGTGATTGAAGACATTGAGTGACATGATTCAGATTTAAGCACAGTGACAAAGATGCACTTATTCTGTCTTCCTCTGGATCTTGAGTTTTAAAACTAATTTATACCTTTTCTAATGCATGGATTTATTCTTCTAAAATCATATCTAGTTTTTTTTGTGCTACCACTGATACTGTTATTTCGATGACTCTCGAGTTTATCTCGGTAATTTTGTTTCGCTATGGTGACATGATATGGTAGCTTAAGCCAATGCATATGTGCTAGGTTCTGGTGGCTAACAAGTGACTGATAGGAATTTGCAACACGAAGAGTTAACCAGGTTTTAAGTAAGTATCCAATGAAATCGGATGAAGAACTTATTATAATATTATGAATTAACTGAACCTGACGTGCGATAGTTGGATTCCGACTTGATGCTCTAAAAGTATTACAGTTGTCATGTGTCCTATGTGCGAACTGTCCTAGTTACGAACTAAAACGAACTAAAACTGTCTAATGTTTCTTGTTCGTCACCGAATTTTGAGAGGAGGTCAGTCGGTGATGAGAATCACAAATTCATATGTCATTTACACTAGGTTATGAGTGCATCCAGTACAGTAGAAAATATCACAAAACTTAGACAGAAGTATTACAATTACAGCTTAAGTTATTTGAAACCACTAAATAAAACAGTGAGATAATACAATTTCACAGTCAGTACAGATTTATTTACTTCACTTTGATTTATAAATATGGATGGGAGAAAATACACTACGTCGTTGCACAAACTGAAGTAGCTGAGATGGAGTATTGAAACTGTACACCATTCAATCAAAATTTCCGTGATTCAATCACTGAACCGTTATTCTACCTGGTTTTCATATATTGAAACTGTAACTAACAGATTTGATTCATGCTATAGCAATCTGATTGTAATACTTGATTATTTCAATCATACTTTGTCGGTGATATGCTGATTTATCATCCTTGCAATGACTTTTTTATGTCAGTTGTAAAGCGAAATTTCACAATTTCCAATTTATTTACAATTACATAAATTAGTCGTCTATTGGCAAGGGTAATTTTACATTGGTCTTCAGGAGAACCAAGGAGATTGCACACGTGTTAACACTTCAAAGTGAACAGTTAGGCTCAATCCCGTGGAGCAATCATACAGGTACCTGACACTCTGGGGGGCCATTCACACCATTTATATACACTAGTACATATATAGTGATTATTTCCGATCCATGATCGCGTTAATCAATATGCGCCGCATGAACAAGCCAATTCGACCCACCCCCTTACATGACTGTCGAACTCATTATTATTATTATTAGCAATGGTGATATGCAGTACAGTAAGTACCCCAATGATAATGGCCTTCGAGAATGTTGCAAAACAACCATCAGAAATCGGTCGCGCTGCTAACCGACTTTGTATATGGACTGTTAGCAATGCTTCCCTAAGCAATACCAAGCCATTCACAATGTTCACAACGAACCTCTGGTCTCATAGGAAACCTTCATGTGTGTTACGAATGCCCAACCAACAACTGCATCATAAAGCTACGTTTTGTAGTGTAGGAATAGGTTGTAAGAAAGCTAGGGGCGGACAGACCAAAACATGACACAAATCCATGAAGTCACTGACAAGTGGACTGAGTCATGTTGGTAGGTGTCGACTACCTGGTTGGGGTCCGCGAGACGAAAGTCACCAATGGTTAGAGACCCTGGATGACATGGCTCAAAATCGTTTGCGATGACGTAGGTGCATTCACTTGTTGTGTTCGATGAAATTCTAACACTCAGAATTCCTCATCGTCTCTATCTTTCTCTTTCCAAAGTTATCTCACTGAATTATACTTCTTGAATAATATCTTCGATCCCTAATATTCTCCTTTACCACTTATTCTTCTACTATCTCCACCACTATGGGATTTAAACTGACAGTTGAGTCTCTGTGCTAATGTGGTATGGCAACCTGAACTTATGTAATCATGCACGAAGTTCTACTTTGTAACTGACTCAACTGACTGACTGAATAATAATAATAATAATAATAATAATAATAATAATAATAATAATAGACAGATAGTAAAAAACAAATACTTACGTTAAAGGAATTCCACGATATTCTTCACTTCCTTCTTGATTATCAAATGATAATCCAAATGTAAAGGATAAATAATTTTCAGCACCTGGTGGAAAAGCTATGACAATACGAATTTCTGGATCAGAGCATACAATCACAGCATTACGATGCGTAACTAAATCTAAATTGTATTTGAAAAATGCAGATTTGACTGGAGCTAAATTTTCAAATTCCTAAAGGTTGAGTTTTAGATGGAGGAGGGGAAGGTTAAAGGAAAATATAATATATAGAATTTTGGGAAAAAAGAAATTGCAATGGAAAATATTATGTGAAATGTCAAGTAATTAGGAAATTTTCAATTGAGATAACACACATGACAGTCTCTTCTTGGTGAAGTGGTATGATTTAATGACTAACATATTTAACTCTTAATCAATAGATTGTTGGTTCCTTACACCCTTATCACATAAATAGTATAGTTGGACACTCATTAAAAGTAAGTAAATATGCACTTGGTACACACATGAATCATAAACATGACACATAAATTTGATTAGAAACACAAGGCTAACAAGCGGTTGAGATCAGTTGAAGAGATATTGTGGATAGAGAGAGAGAGAGTGACAGTATCGTTCAACGATGAAACCAGTCGTCCTTATATTATCTAAACTGAGATCAATTTGTGACGAATACTTCCCTCGTGAATTGGTATTTATTAATTCATGATGGTCACTCCATAAAATCAATAAAGTAGGTTTGTACATGAAATAGAATTTGCTTTTATAATTTTAATACAACTGAAATGATTAAATAAGCATTGTGTACAGAGATAATTTGCACATATGATTTCAATATGTGTCATTTCGCATATGTAACATGTGGGCAAGTGGATAGATAATGCAAAAACTAATACAGAATAATAAGTTAGTAAGGTTATTGATATTATTAGTAAAGGAAAAACAAGCATACACTATGATTTCATAAGTTAGAGGTAAACACACCAGTGGACAATACAAAGAAACAAGCGCCTGGATTCGACTACTGCGAAGTGCAGGAGTTGTGGATGCGCACTGTTACTGATGTGTCCCATACCAGAACGAAACGGCCGTCTAATGTTTCTAGGTTTCTAATGGTGGTCTAACATTGATCAATTCATGATTTTAAATGTATCCAAATTATAAGACAGATGAAATACACGAAAAAAATTTATTCTGAATGTTTAGTTAATTAATTCAGTAATGGATAGCAATAACCTCAATTATTTATAATCGACGTATACATAAGTTATATTGAATACAATAAATCACTGGTGAAGTTATATTCAAATTGATTTCATGTCTGAATACTTGATCATATGACGGACAAAAGTATACTATGAAGTTACTATAAAATCATTATGCTAACTTAAATTTTGATTCGATAGAAACACTGAATACATCAACATGTAACCTTAGCTTATTGAATCCTAGCGTTCAAGAAGAAATTTATACAGTTAACTTAGGCGCCGAGATGGTGGAGAAAATTTGTAGCTCAGGTAGATGAATGATTGTGGTGGAGTTTCGTTCTCTGAGCTGGATGTTTCAGTTGTGAAGCTTTCATTGTTCTTCTGGACAACATCATCAGCAAAAACTTCAGATAGAAATGAAGCATACGAATTTCTCCACATTTGACTTGATCGAGGTTAGCAGAACAAGTTATAGGTCAAACATGAAGAAATTCGAATACTTCACTTCTATCTGAACTTTGTGCTGATGATGTTGTTCAGAAGAAGAACAATGAAAGCTCCACAACCAAAACGTCCAGCTGAGAGAATGAAACTGCACCACAATTAATCATTCACCTGAGCAAAAATGTTTACCGGCCATTTCAATTCCGATTAATATTTGTCTCTATTTTCACACATCATTATTCCTAATATTTTTTTTAAAAGTAAAGCCTTGTGATTCATAAGTTATTACAGAATCTAGACTCAGTAGTTTAGTGGATAAAACGTCGGTATCTGAGAGAAGTGAGTACTAAGCTGGAATAACATTAAGAACGTCGAAATTAAGCTTTTTATATCTTTGACTGTCAAACAGATCAAGTCTATCGCGATGTGTTTATCGATTAGCAAATGAGCTGAATGTCATGTAGCATCTAACATTTTTTAAAATCCCTCAATTCATGATTTTGATATTAACTGGGTAAAATTCACATATTCGATTATTGACGTGTATAGATATTAATGATAACATAACGTGTTAAATATGAAGTTGAATAAGTGAAGGAATGGATTTGTAAATGTGGAATTTTCTGAGAAAACCTACCAATTAAATAATTATTGGGATCACTAACCAAGCTCAACAACAAAATTTGGTGGGAATGCTAATTACACTACTCGAAAACTACTTTAAAACTTATTTTTTTTTAAAAATCTCTACGTAAGGAAAAATATGTGACAACATATAATCGAATTGATAACATTTCTGTCTGGGATGGTAAACTAGCTTCGACAGTTGCTCGATTAACAACATACATGAAATAGGAAATGTAAAGCTTCTATCACATTTTCAAAATGGACATTGTAGAAATAACGAACTGTAAGAAGAAAATAAATCCGCCACTTACTTTTAGTGAGATTGGATGACGTAATAACTGCCAATCGGGATCATGTGGGAAATGAGTATAAATCAATTGACTGGGATTAGCTAAGAAATAAAACATATCTAATCCGTAGCGTACATTGTCTGGACTAGGACGTTTACCAATTAAACGACGTGCAGCCCAGTGACAATCAATTAAACGCCATACTTTATCAATAAGCACAGCATTCCATGAATGTTGACCTTGACGACCGGAAAAATGCATACCTGGAGCATATTCAGCACCTTTAGCATAACCAATTAATAGTCGGCAATGTAAACCAGCATAACTGTGTTTTCGAAGAGAAAAAAAAACCAGAACAGAAGAAAATTTTGAGTTCAATCATTGTGCGTATATGTCTGGGTGACTTAGTTAAAGAGTTTCCTAAATCACACAAAAGTTATTTATAATAGACAGTTTGTGGTTAAAAACAGAATCTAGAAAACACACATTAACTTCCATTTAGAATATGTTAGCTGGACCAACCAATCTCCCAGTAGTGGTGATCATATTGGAAATCGAATCCAGTACCGTTTACTTTAAACGCTCAGCGTGTTATCCACTGAATTACTGAGTTCAGATTACCACAAACATACCTGACGGATATTATATCTGTATTATAATCCGTAGGCGAATGAGTTGTTCAATCCTTGACATTCAGAACAAAATTGTATTCAGTTTTGATTGACAAATATGCATTCTGTTTTGTTGCAAGTTGTTTAGGTAAAATATCTGTTCAATGGTTTACCAACCGTTTAGGCGAAAATATTCTTTTTGACCATCATCGAAAATACACACTTGGATGATTTCGAAAGTTAGCAAGTCGAATTCCACGATATGGGCCTATCTGCTATGGGATTGACACGCCTTGTTGAAAAGTACCAGATAGCATATAACTCAGGTCTAATCACCACGTTAAATCTCAACATAATGCGTGCAATGTTGAATCACTCAGATCACATATTGATCGATAGAATTTGATCAGCATCAAAGGATTAAACAAGCATGACAATGGCCCCCTATTCAGTGATCAATCAATTGTCTGTTAATGACAAGTTTTATTTTCCAAAAAAGTTTAGTTAGAAAAATGAAAAAAAGAAATTATACAAGAAAAGTTCAGGGTAAAAGTAAGTTGTCTAAAAAAGAAAGTCATAATCACCGCCATAAATATTTATAAGAATAGCAATAATCATAATATTTTAAATGAATTGATAAAGGGAAAAAACAGGTGTGAAATTATGCCTGGAGAGGAAAGAAATTTTGATATACATATATATACACATTGAAAAATTACTTATTCGTAGTTTAGTGTTAAAAGGAACAAAGATATGAAGATATATTGATCAGGGAAGAAGTAAAAGAAATTGAGTAAAAAACAGAAGGTACAGAAACTCTGTCAAGTCATAACACATCATAACATAACTTTGTACACAAATTCCAATTCCAGTTACTTTTATTTCTTTTTCAATATTATGCATGTAAATATATATACATATATGTGAAATGATGGGGAAAAATTTGGTAGCTTATATAAAAAAAAGTTACGTTAAATTGTTCGATTGTAAAAATTTCTAAGAATCCCATGGGATTACTGGAAGCATGGGATTTAGGTTAATTAATAATCAACAGACACATAGATATATACAATCCATGAGCCTGTAAAGAAGAGGTCAATCAATTAAAAGGCTAGAGGTCAACTAAAAAACACAGTCAACATGAAGACAAAGGCGAATGATGATAAAAAATATACTACGACGACTACTAATCACAAACAAGATAACTGGAATGAACTGATATAAGGTTTGTGGAATAATCAGAAAGCTCATTTATCCATGTGGTAGACATTGATGATGTTAACCAGAATGACAATGAACGCTCCATGAATATAAAACATCCATCACAATCATCCAGTTGAGCTACGAATTTTTCTCCACCATCTCACATACATTATAATTTTCCAATTAGAGTTATGGAGATTAGTGTTAGTTGCACTTTGAGATCATCAATCAATCACTACCACTCTAATTGAAAAATCGTAAAATGTGCTCACTAGTGACTAGCTTCGTGAGGAAATTCTCGGAGTTCTAGTGAGAAGACGTGACTAGTGGAGTTCAACCCTGTCGAGTGTATGCAGTAACCTTCAAAGAAAAATGGGTGAGGTCGTGCAAAATGTGCAGATTGATCAGAGTTAGACATTAACACCGTTGGTCCAGAGTTTAGGCGTTCGCGCGCAAGACCGAAGGTCCTGAGTCCGGAACATGTGCATTGCTGATGAGTCACACACCAGGACGAAACAGCCGTCCAGTGCTACCAGGTTTCTAATGGTGACCTAACAATGGTTGATTTATGATCTCAATGTGCAACATATATAATTACAGAATAGTGTTGACTTTTTGTTCAGATTATTACAACTTCCAACTTATGCAGATAAAGATTGTGTGATGAATCAAATCTCATATAGTAACCAAGTAAAATCTTAACGACATATCACGATAAATAAAAAATTACGATGCCAGCGTAACTACACCAAAAACTGGAGAGAGTTCAGTAATAAATCCGTAACAATAACTGAAGTACTTAATGATTAGAGAACAGGGATATTGATATGCTTGAATGCTATTACGAGTTCACCTTACTCGGTAAACGGAGCTAAGACAATTGAAGCAGTGACACGATGGCTAATCTACTCCATTATCCCCAACCCGGCTAACTATATCAAGAAGTCTTGATAAGGCTTAGAAAGTGTATTCTAAAAGCACTCAGAAAATATTAGGTTGACAAGCATACAAATCGAGTTTATTTATATATGATAGAAATGTCCTTGGGAGAGCCACAAATATAGCGTACTAAAATAATCCATCGACCAAAAACAGTCAAGGATTTTCCGAGTGGGAAATGTGATCTCAAGGTCAACTATGCAGCTTATGTGCGAAAACACAAAAAATCCAAACTTAGGACCTTTATCAAGTGAGTTCTGGGGATCTAACGTCCCCAACAGATTAAACACAATAACCTTAGGTAGTACATTTTCGATAGTTCCATTTTTTCGACAATCATCCCATTATAATAGTCTTAATCTAATACTTTGAGGAACTTCATATAATCATCATTATAGTCATTATCGTCTTTATTATCGTTAGCAAAAGACGTACTCAATTGCTACCTTTAAATATTTTAAAAATAAAATAGCAACTTACCGGCATAATGTATAAAAAATTTGTGCATATGTTGATTTCCCAGTACGTATACCCATTAGAATTTCTTCTGGACTATCTGGTTTGACATAATCGAAATTCATTTTATGCAAATCTTTTGTACATAACCATAAGAAGATAACACGAACTTTTTCTAATTCATCAGTAATATTACGTGCATAGATTAATTGCCAAATTAATTGATTAAAATTATCTTGTTGTTGTTGGGATATAGAGACAGCGTGTTCATCAATTCGTCGAAATACCTATTGGATATGAGAATGATTAAAGTGTAAGAAAAGTAAGTCTATTAAGTTGTATGCTTAATAAGATTGACATATCAGACTGAGTCATGTTGGTGGATGTCGACTGCCTAGTTGGCGCCCGCGAGATAATAGTAATCGATAGTTAGAGACCCTGAATGACATGGCTAAAAACCGTTTGCAATGGCGCAGATGCATTCATTCTTTGCGTCCTCTCAAATTCTAACTTTATGAGTTCCTCATTACCTTTATCTTTTTCTTTTCAAGTTTATTTCACTAAATTCTACTTCCCTAATTTCCCCGATTACTGCTCATACCTTTACTACTCCTACTACTATGAATTGACAATCGCATCTCTGTGCTAAAATAATGTGGTACGGCAACTTGAATTGATGTACGCACGTACGAAGTTCTACGTTGCTGTTGATTGATTGACTGACATATCCAAAGATTAGTTTTATATCATGAAATTTATCTATCAATCTGGAGTATAAAAAAGAGATGTAACTTTATTTCTTTTCAAGATCCTGAAAAGTGCATCGTTTTCAGAATATCTTGAATAACAAACAATGTGAGTGTTTTCCACATGTTCCTCAAATTCATCCAATCCGAAAACTTTATCCCAGTGCTGGTCTGCATCAATCTTAATTTACACAATAGAGAGTGAAGATGGGTGTGCTAATTAATTTATGTAGTTTGGGAATATCATAATCCACAATCGGTTAATATCTGAAGAAATTTCGTTATGGGTCAAGTTTACAACCATCTGTATTACAAATGGTTATTACATCAGTAATATTACTTACCAATTGAATAGGGAATATGTCATTAATGTAGAAGAAAAGTGTGTATGATAAATATTTGACCGTACACAATTTCAAGAAAATTTCCACACGTTGTAGGTGCCTCCGAAGCATTGCTCGTGTATCTTGGGTCAAACGAGTAAGCAATGCTGTCGTCGGGAAACGAGTTCTGGGTAGGGATGGCAAATCAATAGATGAAGTAGTGAAACTTCATCAGTTGAGGTGGTTGGGACATGTGTTACGTATGGCTAACCACCGACTGCCTCGACCAGCTATGTTTTGTGGTGTAGGAGTAGGTTGGAAGAAAGCTAGGGACGGCCAGACCAAAACATGGCAGAAATCAATGAAGTCACTAACAAGTGGACTGATTCATGTTGGTAGATGTAGACTACCTGGTTGGGGTCCGCGAGACGAAAGTCACCAATGGTTGGAGACCTTGAATGACATGGCTCAAAATCGTTTGCAATGGCGCAAGTGCATGCATTCGTTGTGCTCTCTCAAATCCTAATCTTCTGGAATCGTCAGCACCTCTACCTTTGTCTTTCTAACCTTATCTCACTGAATTATACTTCTTGAATAATATCTTCAAACCATAGTCTTCTTCATTACCATTATTACCTCTACTATCTCTATCACTATGGGATTTTATTTGACATCTGCGTCTTTGTGCTAATGTGGTATGGCAGCATGAACTGATGTACGTACGTAGTTCTACGTTGCAACTGACTGACTGCTAGAAAAAAGGTTACTGCTACTAAGTAAAAATGGTAAACCAGGTGTTGAAGTGGAAAACCTGAATCCAGCATGACTCTCGTTGAGATCTACAAGATAAGCTTAATAGGTTGGCAAAATGTAACCGGTGATCAATTCAAGAATATAAACTTTTAATATGATTCATATCAGAGAAAATGCTATGTACTCGGAAACAATGTATAATCAATGACTAAAGGGTTTCAAGTGCTAAGCTTGCTTGTAATGATGTGAATTTATTCAATTAAACTAAGAAATTTAAACATTTTTATTTCGTAAACAAATTCAGTATGGAAAAGAAAGTGAATGGTAGGAATTTAGTAGTGAAATACTTCGCAGAATAAAGCTAATCTATCACTATGCCCTCTTCAAATGAATTTTTTAAGCATATATAAATATAGTAGCCAGGATCAATATTAAATCTATAGAACTTTACATGATCATTATTATTTCGTTCTCTGTAATTCTATAGACGAATAGTAATTTCATAGTGAAGACCTTGGAAACTTTTTCTTCAAGTTACATTACTGCATAAACCTTTGCAAATAATCTGATTGGTTGTCTTCGCTTTTATCTTGTTGCATTTTGCAAGTTCATAATTATTGCTACATTAAGAGAGGTGTTCTGTTAAAATCTATTAGGAATATATTTTAGCTCTTCTTCTTGAGCCGGTAGTGTAGCGGTATCATGCAACCCTTCTACGGTTGAGACCAGGGTTTTCTTCTTCTTCTTAAAGTATCATCCTTTCCCTCATATTTGCAATATTGATTACTCACATCAAAATGTTTTAGCATATTAGTCATATAACCTAGTTTAGTTTGAATAAATCCTGTTTTCTATTAAAAAAATCTCACAATTGTTCACAGTTCACAATAACTGTAAGTCGACCCAACTCATTATAGTACGTAGATGAAATCTTGGTGATTACATATGTAAACATGTTTAACTTTAATGAAAATTGTTAACGATGAATAGGAAATATAATAAGAGAATTGTAATAATCACTTCATTTTCATAAAGCACGTTAAACTAGTTTAGAATATACTAATTTAGTAGACTACCGAATATTGCCAAGTTATTAAAACAATACCAATTTCGTCATCAGAACTTTATTCATTGAGACACCTAACTTGATAATGGCGCCCAAACCCTATCACATCTAGGTAGCGTTTGAACAAAAACAGTTGTGACTTTTTGTCCTTGCAGAACATGTAAGTATCTGAGCATGATTGTAAAGTTAAAAACAGGTAATTAGAAAAAATACAAATTTTAAACTGGTATATTTAATCATCTGACTAAACTAGTCATAATAATAATAATAATAATAATAATAATAATAATAATAATAATAATAATGTCAAACATTATCAACACATACTTCAAATGATTGATAAGGAGCAGATGACATATCAGTGGTAGTTGGTATTTCTTGTGGTCTTGGTTTCTCTTCCAATGTATCCATTGATAATGGACTTGGAGCAAATTCTTTCGGAGGAACACGTTGTATCGGTCCAGTACTCCAATTAGCTGTACTTTGATCAGGTTTGTAAAATTGATTAGCTGATGGAACTGATTGATGATTTGCTCGACCAACAACAGTACCAGTTGTCGATGTGACTTGATCATATTGTTGTTTGTTATAATAAGGTAAACTACTGGAATTTGATGAACCCGGTGGTGAAACATAGCATATATTTGCTAGAGTAATTAAAAATCAAACAGCATGTTTTATATTAGGTATCCATCATACTGAAAAGATATATATATGTAGCAATGCAACCTTTTACATAACACTTAACAAAAACATGTATATACCGAAGATAAGTCAGTACAGAATGGACACCAAGTTTAACCACATGATCAAGTTGATACATATTTTCTAGATAATAAATTTACATTTACACTTTCTAAAAAAAAAACGTGATTTTTGTAAGTCAACTATAAGTGACCATTTTAGGAAAAAATCAATATTAAAATGAAATCATATAGAATACATTAAATTTAAGGCCGGATAATTTCATGATGCCGAAATAGTGTAATTGATATGCATATTTTTGAATAGAAAAAAATAGATTTAACAGCGATAAAATTGTCATTAGCGTACAAAATTGATACAACATACAAAAATATCATCACATCACGTCAGTGTGAAGAATGAATTATTCATAAAGAGTTTTGATGTAGAAAATATTATTTAATTTGTTATAGTAAGAAGATACTTTAATAGTATTTTGTAGAAATTTTTTTTATTAGGAACGTTTTTATATCAAGACATACAAAACAGAAGAGGAGAACATGGGCAAGTATGAAATGGGCTTAAACTATTTATGAAGGTTAGCTTGACTTGTGCCACGACAATTATGTATTGAATGATTGATATTGATTTGTGTGAATCAATAATTATTTCTGTGATAACAATATATGTATATTTATTATACCATATGGGTGTGTGTTTGTGAATTTGTGAATTTACAGCATTCGCTTTCATGTACATACCATTTTTTTGTTTTGATTTTGATATTATAACATCCCGAACGCAGCTGCTACCTTGACGTGGTGGTCGAGCTTGCCTATCGTGATGACCTAACCGATCTATATTGGTTGGAACATATGGTCCCTGTAGGTTCTACCATGCCAGGCTGGTCGATAGGAGAACGATGAAACTAAAAACAGATACTCAAGTTATGAGGGTGAAGTCGTACTGCTGACTGCAGAGGGGTGTAACAGCAGTAAGGTTTCTCTCGGACAACTAGCATCTGCAGCGATGCTGCCTTCTCACAATGAAGGAAGGCTTAGAAAATACCGACCGTAAAAATGTCACACTTCACCTTGCCTCACGCATTTCCGTCTCCGGCGGCAAGGCCTTTCAAAAAGAGCGGAGCTAAGACTTTAAAAAGCCTTCATAGAAAGATCGTGCGTGTTCGGCCTCAAGCAGTTGTCCCTTGGGCTCTGCGGTCATGCTCCCAGGTCTCTAAGACCGACATTGATCTACCATCTTTTTCAGGTTCCTCAAGAAACACCCTTCCACGGTGTGGGCAGCCGGGAAGTGACAACCACCCTTATACCCGTAACAGCACACGAGACCAAATTAGCCGCAATCAAAAATTACAACATAAGTCATGGAATATTATTTCATCATTGAGAAAAAAATAGAGATCATGTGGAAATAATTTCTTGACCGAGTGCATATATGTGAAAGATAAAAAATGATTATTTATGTAAGAATGAAGCATATTTTGGTCGGTTTAATCAGCCAAAATGAAACGTTTTCTCAAATCAAGAAACCGGAAGAAAGAACTGACTTAGTATAGTTGATTACAAGGGCAACAGTAAGCCGTAAAAGTATATAGGTAACTACTGATGGGAAGAGAACTGGCTGTATACATTAGAGCAGGTATTTTATGATATTTTCAGAATTTGACCTTAATCATAAATTCATCATACAAATTAATATTTATAGTTGTTTTATTTTAGTGTACAGGAAAACTAGTCTATTAATCTATAAATGTATTATTTAGTTACATATCAAGAAATGTGTTCATTGTATACTCTTACTGAAATATATCAATTGTTAGGGAATTGCATAGTTATATGAGTTATGAATTCTGGCTTCAGTCATTCACCTTAATTTCTGTGTTTCTGACTGAAATTCCCTACTGGATCGGATGTGTAGCAGAGTTACAATTAATAGATCACTGGGTAACGATCAATGTCAAGAAGCATGAACTTAGTGTTCACAATCCACCATACCTAATGATCACTTTATATCGCGACATAGTGCAAGCGACGTTGAGTCACTTAGACTACTGATTATATTGCAGGTTGATCAACAGAATTTGACCAGCACCAAGAAAGGCTAGATATGTATGACAGTGGGGACCACTCAGTTTAGTCCAACACGAAATCATTTAAGGCCAGGATAGCTTAGTGTTAACGTCTCTGATATGAAACCCAATCAACTAGGAAGTATCTGTCCCTTTAGGATTACAAGTAAACCTAGCTGACAAGTCCCAAGTAAAGCCAAAACCATTTAAATTTCAGATGATTTTCAAATATTATTTTTATATTTGACTATAACTATTTGCATCATCTGGTTGACTACTAACTACTATGTTGGAAAGAACTGAAGTTGTAAAATAAGCATTAAGGTCTCGTTTGTTGTTCATTAGTCAGTGTGTTAATCGATAAATAGATTATTGATCCTATTGACATATAAGTGAAGTAATTGATAATTGGTAATCTCGGTTGAGTAATATATAACATGTGGTTATCCATTGGTGTCCCAAGCCACAACAACTTGGCGGCGACCAACAAACATAACCGTAGTCTCAATGATTACACAGCGTTATAGTGAATTAGCATGAATTGATAAGAAATTAGTCAAAACAAAACATGGGAAAATTCTTGATTTGATTTTATAATAAATAGCGCAAATACATTAGAACTGTATATGAAATTTAATCTGATGGTTAAGTTGTATAGCACAAATGAAATGAGGAACTGAATATTCTGATTATCAACTGTGAAAAGGTTAGTATCGTTTAAGTTCAATTATAAGTTAGATTATTTTTGAAATATTTAAACTAAGGTGAAAGTGTTATTCAGTGTTTTTCTTCTTTGATGTCCAATAATTCTTTGGAGGATACAAAGTACCAGTGTACAAATACATATCTGATGCATCGTTTTGTGCAATTTTTAAAAAAGTTAACTAATAAGCACCATTAAGCTTATATCATACGCCATTCCTCATTTTACAGAAATATATTTCCATACTGAGAATAAAAAATTTGATTCGCATAGAACAGATAAAATTTAACTAGCTACAAAAATTCAGGAAGCGCGTCCCATTATTTTTTGGGACTTACTTATCAGCTAAATGTGCTTGCCCTTTCAAACTTGATATTCATTTGAGAATTTGAATCCAGTACTTGAATAAGTTATCTACTAAGCTACTGAATTTAGATAGTCATCCACTTGTTCCATATAGGTATAAATTATCAATAATAGGATGATTTTCAATCACATTACGAATTCATTCAATAAACATGATATTTTTAACAAAGACAATATCTTGAAATAATGATTCAATGAAATAGTGCGAATGAAGTTAATCGCAAAATCAATGATATTATGTAATGACTATCTTAATCTATACATTTTCGATTATAATAGACATATATATTATCTTGCAATCTTAGTATTGTTAAAACGTTTTAGTAGGAAAAAAATAAACGCCAATATAAATGCATTTTATGACAGAATGTATCTCTTGATAGAATTATTTTGTCAAAGGTATTTTCACAAAAGAAAAAACAGTGCAAAAATTGACGCACACAAAATACAATATATATATAAATATTAAGAGATGCATAATCCTATGCATATTAATAGTTTAAGTTAAACTATGAAACGTGTAAAGAAGTTAAAAGTTATTTTTATCTTATTCCAACAATATTTGAATATTAGTTTTATTCATATACATAAAAAAGATAAATATTTAAGCTAATATATTAGCCCGATTGGAATTTTCTGAATTCGCTTATCTAAAACTACCGATGCTTTATTTTTTCTACCAAGATTTAGTTAAACTTTCTTGTTACCGAAATCAGTCAGTTAGAACGGAGAACTTTGCACGTACGCACATAAGTTTAGGTTGCCATACCATATTAGCACAGAGAGGCATTTACCAGTTCAAATCCCATAGTGATAGAGATAGTAGAAGTATTAGAGGTTATCAAGAAGATTAGGGTTCAAAGATATTATCCAAGAAGTATAATTCAGTGAGATAACTTTGGAAAGAGATGGATGGAGATGATGAGGAATTCTGAATATTAGAATTTAAGAAGAGTGAATGCAGCTGCGTCATCGCAAACGATTTTGAGCCATGTCATTCAAGGTATATAACCATCGGTGACTTTCGTCTGGCGGACCCCAACCAGGTAGCCCACATCTGCCAACATGATTCAGTTCACTTGTCAGTGACTTCATGGATTTGTGTCATGTTTTGGTTTGGCCGCCCCTAGCTTTCTTCCAACCTATTCCTATACTACAAAACAAAGTTCTTCGAGGCAGTCGGTGGTTAGGCATACGCAACACATGTCCCAACCACCTCAACTGATGAAGTTTCATTACTTCATCTATTGATTTGCCATCCTTACCTAGCACCCGTTTCCTAACAACATTGCTTACTCGATAGTCCCAAGATACACGAGCAATGCTTCAGAGACACCTATGATCGAAAACCAGTAACCTAAGAATATCTTCCAATCTGATTGACCATGTTTCACAGCCATAAAGTAGGGCAGGGCGAATCGCTGCGCAGCACACTCGTCCTTTAGTCAGCAAACGGATATCTCGCCTACGCAGGTTGGCAAAAGTTAATCAAACCTTCTGTATTCGTGCTGAGATTTCGTGACAAACTAGGCCATCAACTCTGATTAGACTCCCGAGATAAGTGAGGCGGTCAACACGCTCAACCGCTTCATTCCGTATCACTAGTTCAGGCGCCGACGCAAGCCAATGCTGGAGCGACATACCCGTAATAGCACACGAGACTGAATTTGTCACAATGAAATCCCTCCTACAACCCCTAATATCTTTCTTATCTCCACGATTAACCCTTTTCACGTTCCCTCATCACCCAACACCGCTAATGCAGGCGAAACGTTGTCCCTGGTCTCCTGAAACCCCATTCTAATACAAAAAAATTTAGTTAATGAATATACCTCCACATAGTAAACAATATTTTCAGTAAGCTTACAATTTTATTACTGTATGAAACAATGTATGGATCACAACAATAAGAAAAAACGACGAGAATTGCTTTGTTTATAAAGATGACCGAAAGTAACTCTCTCATAGACTGATGAACTAAGTCAACAGCCTCAAAGTTTACCACTAACCTATAAAAGGCACTGTTACAATGTTCTTAATTAACACTTCAACAGTTATCAGTAGGTAATGCTTATAAAATAGACAGAAAGTAGTATGCGCTACCAGATTTGAAATTTGCAATCGTAACGAATGGAGATAACACATTCCCAGTTATGATCGCCGAATTTCAAACTAATTATTTCATTCAGTGCGTAGAACACTTAAAATATTGGACATAATAGACTATCATTATAATTCTAATCATTCAAATACATTGCTGAACTGAATTGGTAAACATAACATTGAATCAAGTATTTGGAATAATAACAGTAACATTAATAATCATACAATAATTTAACTTATTTATCAAGTACAGGTTTATTTCTTCAGATTTAGATCAAATTGTTTTAACCAATGAGATACTTCACTCGGCTATCAGTTGAATCCAGTTCGTCGGAAGGTTTGTACACTGAGTGCCCCAACTACTACTAAAGCCATCATCATCGTTAGTACTAACACACACTAGTTATTGACTGGATGAAATATTTAGTTGTATAATGATAACATATAACGAGGGTTAACAAACATTCATAATGTATTTAGTAATTAGACTAGGAAAAACTTAAAATAGTAAGAAATTCTTATACGGAAATACAGTCATTTTCCAAATCGATATGGGAAAATTGTTGGCTAAATTCTTCTTTGTAAGATAATTTGAAGATGATCAAATGTCAAAGATTACATTAGATTGATTGGATCTTGGTTGAACAACCATTGATTATTATGTCTTAGTATGGGATTTCTAAACAGTATATATTCACAACCTCATAACATCATCAGATCCCTTAATGGATCCTTACCGTTTAGACTAGTAACCAACGGATTACATAGCTGACTTAATTCACGTTCTTCACAGAAAGAAATATTTGATTTGGCTATAGCACATATAAAGGAGTAATAAAAAGATAACATTAGAAAAAAAGAGAGACAAACACGAAATCTATGAAAAAATGACCTAGTGAAAATCACTTACTATTATTACTTTCATTACTGCCAGCATAACTCGATGATCCAGGTTCAAAACGAACAGAATTCTGATATTTTATTGGTGGACTAGTACTCTGAAAGAAAAAAAACAATGAAAATTTAAACACACAATTTAAATATAATTTCACTGAATAAATAAACAGAAACGTTTGTTCATATTCCTCCATTAATATGTGACAAATGTATCAGGCTTACTAAGTAAAACCGAGCTTCGTAATTTAACCTACTGAACTATTGACATTAGCAAGAGGAACCATTAAAAATGTAAAAAAAGCATTGAACCAGGAGGATCTTGTAGCGAGAGTTTACCATTCAAACTATGAATAAATTGATATTTGATGGTTGATACTTTTAACTTCAATCAATTAGTTGGAAGCATTATTGCTCAACCATTATCCAATGTCATTGAGCCTCGTGTGTTAGGGATTATTAGTAAACAAACAAAATTAAATGTGTACCATTCATCTATTCTTATCATTCATCTTGTTTAGTTCACCATCCGAAAAGTTAAAACAGCTATAAAGCTCAGACAGAGAGTGTTATAAATTCATCTTACTTACTTGATCAATTGTTTTGCAAAATCATAAGAATATTTTACATGCAACTATTTACTGATTTCATTGATTTTAAAAAACAAATTCACAACGTACAGTTAGTTGTGAATGATGAAACGTTACTGTCATGTATTTTAAGTTGTTCTATGCATGTAAGTGAAGTTATTGTTTGACCTAGTCCAGTATTACCAGTTCATTATAAAGAGTTGTTTTTGGTAAGATACAATAACCGGATCTTTGATCAGCTAATTGGACATGAAATAAAGCAATCTCAAATCTATTTAATAACTCTACCTGACAAATATCATCCTAATAGAAACATCAACAACAACAGTAAAACAATCCATTATGTTTACCAGAATCAAGTGTGTGTGTGTGCATTTATATATTCAAGCTTATTAGAAAAGGATGAATTTCGAAAAAAAAAATAAAATAATTAAATTTTATTGGAATATCTAGCATAGAATGTAAACTTTTTATAAAATTTGACATTAGAGAAGCAAAACTTGTTCAATGATTGCGTCATAATTTTTGCAAGGTATATAATGATCATGTGTATTCAAATAAAAAACCCAGCGTGCTCTTTAGAGATGATCAAAAAGTAAAGACGCTAAACTCACAGTTTTTTAATGCTTTGCTGGAAAGGATCGCAGAGAAGTGGGTGTGCTATATAGATTGCAGTAACTGGTATGTTCATGGGTGAAACAAACACTGCACTTTAGGGGATGTGGTGGTTGAACTTGTTACTAAACTCAAAGGGGCTACGAGATTCGAACTCATACAGTCCTTTAACTGTGACGTTCAATGATGGAGAATGTGTTTGAGACAGATAGTGTCCATCACATCCTTAAGGATTGCAAGTGACAAACCTTAGTGGTGAGTGCCAACTAGCAAAGAACCTAGACACAAGGGCTTCTTGTGCGATTTCTTTGAAACACATAATGTCAAAACATAATGCATGAGATGTCAAGTCACTAAAACTACAGAACACACAGAACAAATTATTCGACAGAATTAAATGAGCATCAAAAATCAGACAAGCATAATGATGACTTGGCCTGAAAATTTTTCCCTACAAAACCACTAAAAAAGTAAGCAAAGATTATGTTACTAGAGACTTTTTTGTCCGAGTATAAGGGACATAACAATAATAGTAATAATAATAATAATAATAACAAAATGGTGTAATACGAGTGGCTGGAGAGTAGCATCTTAGAAGTGTTAAAGCATTAGACTTTTAGCCACCATGTTCGAAGTTCAAATGTCGTTTAAGTAACTTCAGTTTGAGCTACCGTGTAGTAAGTATTATTAACCCGCACACTTATGATATTGTTTCAAACCCGCTAAGTGAGTTAAATTTTGATTTATTTGTTCATTTTACAAAAAAACTGAAAAAAAAACTGTTGGTTAAATAGGGTTGAAACTATTTCACAGTTCATACTATATTGATTATTTTAAAAAAAGATTGTATATTCAATATGCATTAATTTAAATTATTGGATATCATCTATATGGAATAGTAATATGTCGGTAATTATTTATCTAGTGCAAAAATTAATTACAATTATAACTTTACCTCATATTGATGAACAAAATTATTCAGTAAATTCAGTAAATGAAAGGCAGGCAACTAATAATGGTAACAAACCACACGTAAGGTCGTCGTCACGTGTACAAAAAAAAAGTTTGTTTGCACTCCTTCACAAACTAACTAAGCTAACATCTTCCTATTCGATATTGTATCACGTGTATTTTTTTTTTCTTCAATAAGCATTCTAATTTACAAACAACCAAATCAAATATAAATTACAAACATTTATCCTATTGGAATAAAATTGCATAAGACAAAGCAAACATTGATGTATATATACATTCGCTTAAACGACACCATGAAGGATGTCAAAAATGACCTAGGTAATGCTGTGTCACACACAACAAGCAGTGTTAGGTAATGATCAAGGAGCTTTTGCTACAAAAAGTTACTGAAATGTAGATTTATACAGTTGTTTTTCACTATAGAGAAAAAAAATACTTAGTGGGGCCTTGGGAGGCTCGGATTAGTGTGGCCTGTCATGTTGGTGGGTCATTGATCCTCACTACGTTTACCGACTAAGGTGACCTTGTAAATAGTTTCAAGCATATTAGCTTTTTTAAAAACACATTGACAAAAAGTTCTACAGTCCATCTCTGTCCATCTTAATCAGCAAAAAGCAAAAAAAATAGCCCAAAAGAAAAAAAAGTAAACGACCTTATATTTATTTAACAGAAATAATTATCCTTCTTATGAAAACTGATTTATCGTTTTCGTAAACATGATGTATTTTCCCTGAAAATTTTACTGTTACTAAAACGTATTGCATTGTTGGACAAATTAACCACATGACATGGATTCACATGCAAACAGAGTGATGATGAACATAGATACACATTTATACAGAAGTAATTATTAAATGGTAGAAAACAAACAAAATTATAATAGAAATTCAATGGAAACAAAGAGCTAGTACACATTTATCTGTATACTTTGAATTAAAACAAAACACAAACGATTTTTAGATTGTCATCAGGCTGGCTTTACTCTCTAATATACATGAAAATGTCTAACTAATCAAGGCAATTTACGAGTCAATAAACAATGAAATGCAATAAAATACGTCACTACACATAATAAGCAAAAGTGAAACATGATAGTAGGAAGACAGGTGAGTACTGATAGTAGTAGTAAGAGAAGTAAGTATAAAATACAATAACAAACATTTTATCAAGAATAGGTCAACATTGGAGATGGTAGGTCAAATGTGGATAAAAATAGACTTGAAATAGTCATTTTGCCTATTAATGTGTAGTGACGTAATCTATTTCATATCATTGTGATTATTCACTCATAAATTGCCTTAATTAGTTAGACATTTTCATGTATATTAGAGAGTAAAGCCTGATAACGATCTAATTGAAAACATTAATATTGTTCGCTTATAAGTGTTGTTCTAATTTTCACAATGGGTATCTTTAATACTTTAAATTAACTTATTAGAATGATTTATTAAACTTTTTTTTAGAAAAAAACAGTATGAAATTTTAGTCAATGTTAATTCCTTCCATAGTTGTCACACACCAAATAAAATTTACTCAGTTGAATAAACGAGAAAAATAGTTATGTCATACAATAATCAACTAACTAACACAGTAAACTAATAAATGAATAAGAGGTCTTACTATTTTCAACAAATTATTCATACTCAATAAATCAAGTCAGTGATTAGACGATCCTATCCTGAATGAGGCTAACTGGATGACAATTTCGATCTCATAGGAATTGAAACATTATAGCTTATGTTTATTTCTAAGAGAACTATGTGATAGTTCAGGTCAGTTTAATTTCATCTCATAAATAACGATAAACAGTTGAATAATGAAACTGAAATGTCAGAAATTCATTTTGATATACATAGTTCCCTTTATTATCTTGAAACAGAGCACAAATCATTTGATTTCAACTAGGTTCTCATCAGTTGCTTAAAACGTATAACATTTTAAAATCAAAATTATTTTAGAAATATGAAGGTACCTACTGATGAATATGTGTACTATGGAAGTAGCGAAAATTTCCATAAAGTTAATAGGTGGTGACAAGAATTTTACAGATAATATAAAGTTTGAGAGGGACAGTTTCAGAATATCGGACCAGATCAAAAATAGCTGGAACTCCAAACAAATATCAGTCAACACACAAATCAGGATTTTCAATACAAATGTAAAGACAGTTTTACTGTATGGAGCGGAGACTTGGAGAACTACCAAAGCCATCATCCAGAAGGTACAAGTATTTATTAACAGTTGTCTACGCAAAATACTTCGGAATAGTTGACCCGACACTATCAGCAACATTCTATTGTGAGAGAGAACAAACCAGATTCCAGTGGAGGAAATCAGGAAGAAGTGGTGGAAGTGGATAGGACACACTGCGAAAAGCACCCAACTGTGTCACAAGACAAGCCCTCTCACGGAACCCTCAAGGTAAAAGGAAGAGAGGAAGATCAAGGAACAAATTAGGTCGAGAAATAGAGAAAGACATGAGAAGAATGAACAAAAATTGGAAAGAACTAGAAAGAGAAGCGAAGGACAGAGTTGGTTGGAGAAAAGTGGTCCGCACCCTATGCTTCATTGGGGGTAACAGCTGTAAGGTAATTACCAACTTCTTTTTACCCAAAATACAATGTGATTTCCAAAACTTTTGGTACACATGTGATGAATAGAGAAATATTTCCCATTCGGTATTGTGGTCACATGAATTCTTAAGGTTTTGATAGAACAGTGAGAAGACGTAATTGATCTGAAAAATGTCATGTAGTTGCGCTATACAGAAACAAGGTTATTTTTTCAGTAAAGTAAAGATGTTAACAACGATGTCACTTACTAAAGCTGTACAATGATTATTTATAGTTATCACAACTATAGTGTAACTTATAACCAACTAAATAAAAAACTATCGAGTGATTACCAAAAAGTTAACAAGAGTGAATCGAAAATTCTTTACAAGTGTTGAATAGAAACTACAAAAATTGCAAGGTATTTGTAATGATGAAAAGAAGATGAAACAGAAATAATGCATATAGAAAGGAGAGAGAGAGAAAGAAGAATTACAGACATCAGACAAACATGTGTTACAAAAAACTTTACAATTGTCTCGTTGGCTAAACATTGGATTGAAACAATCCATGGGTCATGAAAGTGAAATCGATAACGAAGTATATATATATATATATATATATATATATATATATATATACACGGGGAAAATCTAATAAAAATATTTAAGGTGCAAACAGAATGAAGGCCACTTTTGACTGTTTACACTGTGACATGAAAATAGTTTATAGATATGTTAAAATTAGCTTAAGGACAATATATCACTAAAGTTAAGTTAAAATTATTGGTTCAATTTTCTCCATACGTGACAGTTATGTAACAATTTTTTTAAATATCTACCTATTTTAAGATGTTATGATGCTATGTAATTTGGCCTAAATATTCAATTAACGCATCGATTGAGATTAACATAAGGAGGTTTGTGAAGACTGTAGAATACCTTCATAGCTTAAATCACCAACCGATCTTAGCTAAACTACCACTGCAAACCTGGAAGAACTTGCTGGTCATTTTCACCTAAGAAATGCGTGTCCATGACACTGGATCTGAGGATCGAACTTCAGGACTTCGTTTTCGTACTCAAGTACCTAACCTCAAGGCTGTTGAGTTGGTATCCAACTGCATTAATGCCTAACTTTGCTTCTAACGAAACCCATACTCGGATGAAAACACCGTCAAGTACTTTCATGTTTTCAACGATCGTGTAGCAAAGATCAGCCCATGATTGCAACTATGGACGGTCTTTTAATAGTCAACCTATTTTTACATCTTTCACATTGATGACATTAAATATCACTACATTTTATTTTATGACTACTACATTTTATACTACTAAATAGTACTAGTAAGTAAGCGTTACAATTATTAAAGATCGATGAAGTTTTAGTGATGATTGATCAAGATCAAAAATCGAACACAAAATAATTTCCTACAGAATATCATTCACAATTGCTTTTGTACAATCAGGGAATCTTTCATTCGATGTTAATCATATTGATTAAGATGATTTGCATCAAACTCATAGGTTAAAAACTGTAATAGTAAATAAAAAAAGATGTTTAGACTTCTATAGTTTATCAATAAGTCTGTCTTGGATGTCTTTAATGAAAAACGTTGAGTGAATCCCTTTGTGTAATCAAATAAACCTTTACGCTATCTAAATAAGTCAGGGAAACTAGTTGGTTTGGTTGAATTTTTCCTAAAAAAAACAACAACTTGGTATACAAATAAATCGTATAGAGATTGTATGGTAGCATTAGTAATTGAAGCATAAAACCAGAAAACCAATGAAAACAGAGAGAAATTGTACACACATGGAATGGAAATATGAGGATGAAACACTTTATTACATGAATTAAGAACTGGTTGTATAGTTCAGAACGATATTCAAATAGCTTTGCAATGAGATCATCTAACCCACTAAACACAATATCCTTGAAAGGCTTCAGTTCATGTCATTCTGTAATTAAAGAGAAAAATTCGACTTAGATCGCTCGTCTCTATTCACTAGTTAAGATTAGGTAGGCAAAACGTGGCGACTATCTAAACTGTGAGGTATTTGTTGGCGACGTTAGATCTGCAGAACTCGCTTCATAAATGCCTTATTTTGTATTTCACGTCTGCGAGCATGGACTGATCAGTTGACCCTGAGATTTCATTTCCCACCAGGAAAATCCTTGGCTGTGATTGGTTACTGTGTATTTTAGTATGCTATTTTTGTGACTGTCCTAAGGACGTTTGTATGATGTATAAATAAACGAGAGTTGTGTGCTTGATTTAATTGTGATTGCTGGGTGTTGTAGAATATACTTTCTACGCATATCAAGACTTCTCTTTTGCAGTTTTGGCATCAAGGTAGCCTACCTGGATGCTGGTTCATTGTCTCGTTCGCGTTTATCGACTAAGGTGAACTCGTAATAGCTTCAAGCGTACCTAGTGACGAACCTAACAGTATTATTGATTCACGGAGCCAGTGATGTTTGGACTTGAATCATAAGATAACAATGTATTTTATGTAATGTTGAAAAATTTTGGTGATAAAGTTGAAACTCGATCATATTTTTATCAAATAAATACAATCTTTATCGCTTCATAACTTTTTAATATTAAATAATCCTTTATACTAATATCGTGCACCTTCGTTGTACTTTCATTTACTTGACTGTCATTATTTTGAACTATATTATTTTTACTACATCCCCAATTCATTTTTACAGAAGGATATAAGTGAATAATTGAAAAAAAACTGTTAGAACTATTCAACGTGAATTTTTTGTGTATTATAGTTTTAGTGTGCATCTATTAACTATTTAGATTAAAATGCCTTCATTTAGATCAATAACTGTTGGCTAGATATGTTTGACGGTTTATAGATTCCCGTTTATAAATTTGTATTGTAAACGGCCTAGTTATGTAAAAATGGTGATTTTCTACTTGCAATGCGATGTTTTCTTCAAACTGATGTATAGTATCATGTGAGTTCCTAAGCCACGAAAATTGAAAATAACACAGGATTATTCAAATGACTGATTGGTTGTTTCGATCGACCATTAGCGATACAGTTGAATGAACAAATAACCTTTGGGGCAATGCAGTCGTTGTTTACAGCCATTTTTTGTAAATGATCAAGTCAATGTTATTGATCCCATAGGCATAAAACGACCGTGAGATTCTAATTGTGTAGGTAAGAAACACTGTCCAAGCAGAAACTTGAAGAAATTTAAACAATTACATCTGGTTAGCTGCTTAACTCAACAAAACTTGTTCATTGGCAGTAGAGTAATACCAAAGTAAATAAAGATATTTTCAATTAGAGTTCTGGAGATTAGTGTTTTTACACATTTGAAATCATCAATCAATCATTGTTAGACCACCATTAGAAACCTGGAAGCACTGGACGGCCGTTTTGTCCTAGTATGGCACTCGTCAGCAGTGCTCATCCACGACCCCTGCATCTCGCAGGATTCGAACCCGGGATCTTTGGTATTGTGCGCGAACGCCTAACCTCTGGCTAAATTGAAATAGTGGACAATACAACCTAGTCTTTACAATTATATAAATAGATATTTAAGAAAAGAGTGCAAACTAAATTTTAAACTGTCTTCTTTTTATAAATAACAAGATTAGTCGAGAATAAATTGATCATTTAAGTGAAAAAAAAGGAAGGAAGAAACAAACATTCATCATATATGTCAAAATAAGACATGGTTACTTTATCATTACGATTATTAACATTATTACTATTATCATGGAGACTACTACATAGTAATATTAATACTGATCATTTTGGTTACTACAACAAGGTACAATGTAGACGATAAAAACGGCAAGAAAAAATTAAGCAACTCAGTTTCAAGCGCATAAAGTTAGGTAATTATTGAAAAAAATGTACACAGACACACACACACACACGTACACATGAATACACGTTTTCGTTGCGTCACAGTATTAAGACATAATCAACACGATAGTATTATGTCTCAGTTACGAAAATAATCACTTTTTTGTGGATTAAAAAAATATGCATGTAGGCGCGATATGTATTTTTATGACATCATCTTTCACACGCATAAACTTTATGCATGTCATTTCTTGGAAATCGAAAAAAAATTATAGAAACCGTCTTTTGTTAATAACTGAAAACTTACAGTGGTATATTTTTTTGGTATCCCATTGCCAACATGATTTTGTCCAATAATCGATGATGGAGGAGGTGGTGAATAGGTAGTTTGATTTTGATTATTATTATTAATACTATTCAAAGAATTAGTTGTTGGTGAGTCTAAAACATGGAAAAATAAAAACAGTAGTAATTCAATGATTAATTAAATAATGAAATAATGATAATAATAACTAACTCACTAACTAACTAACTTCAGTACTCTAGCTAACCGACAAAACAGTTGTCAAATGGTCGCTCTATGACGAATATAACCTACATATCAGGCTAATCTTCAAAAGATACTTCTTACAACCGAACCATTTTGATAGGTAGTTTAGACTTAGATAGGTTAGAATGAAGAATATGTTAAAAAAATATACAGTTCCAAATATTCTTAATGTTTCATTTTTGAAATATGTTAAGTGACTGGTAAGATTAAAACAGAGAAGTGGCAAAAACCAACTCTAGGTACTTAAAACTATTGAACAAGGTATTTAGGAGTTCAAAATATCTACTACAAAAGTATCTAGAAGCCCAAAAAACGTCAAGGAATGTTTCATACAATCAGACAAAAGTGTCCCACAAGCATTTAGAAAAATGAAGGATTACGTGGGAGATCTTGACTTGAAAATTACCTATAGATATAGGTAAAATATCTGCATAAACATAGCATGCTTAGTGTGTTTTGGGAAAGCTCAAGGTAACATTAAACCATGATTACACTCGATTTTCTGTAAATGACTAACAACAGAGCAAATCTCTTACTCATATTTCATGCCTTATTCTCTACTGTTCATGTTGAAGTAATTTGAAGTTTTAGGAAGTGGTTCAGTTAGTCAGTTACAACGTAGAACTTCATACGTACGTACAACAGTTCAGGTTGCCATGCCCCATCAGCACAGAGACGCAACATTCAGTTCAAATCCCATAATGGTAGAGGTAGTAGAAGTATTAGCAGTAATGGAGAAGATAAGGTTTCAAAGATATTAAGGAATTATAACTCACTGAAATAAACTTAGAAAGAAAAAGATAGAGATGATGAGGGATTCAGAAGATTAGAAGTTGAGAGAAGACAAAGAGTAGATGCACCTGTGCCAATGCAAACGATTTTGAACCATGTCGTTCAGGGTCTCTAACCATAGATTACTATCGTCTCAAGGACCCCAACCAGGTTATTCTACACTTACCAACATGACTCAGTTCACTCGCAAGTGACTTTACAGATTTGTGCCATGTTTTAGTTTGACCGCCTCCAGCTTTATTCTAACCTAATCACCACAAAACATAGCTCGTCGAGGAAGCTGGTGGTTGCTCATTCTTAACACATGTCCCAACCACCTCAACTGATGAATATTCACTACCACATCAATTGGTCTGCCATCCTTTTAACTAGTACTCGTTTCCTAATGACAGCATTGCTTACTCAGTTGTCCCACGATACACGAACAATGTTTCGGAGACACCTATGATCAAAAACCAAATAACCTAGGAATATCTTCTACTCTCACTGGCCATGTTTTGCAGCCATAAAGTAGGACGGAGCGAACTGCTTCACAGTACACTCGTCCTTTGATTGGTAAACAGATATCTCGCCTACGCCATAGGTAACGCAGGTTGGCGAAAGCTAATCGATCCTCCTGTATCCGAGCTGAAATTTCGTCAGTCACCAGGCCATCAGCACTGATGCGACTCTTGAGATAAGTGAAGCGATCAACATGCTCAACCACTTCACTACCTACCTATCACTAGTTCACGTGCCGGAGCAAGCCAATCTTAAAGCAACATTTTGCGTTTCGAGTGGGAAATCCACATCCCGAACATGCATGCATCATTGCTTAGGCTAGTCAGAAAACTCTTCGTTTTGTCAGTGTCTTTACCAATTTGAATAAGAAATGGTTACTAAGTCGGTAATAAGTGCTCTAGTATCAGGCTTATCATAAGATCTATTTGATTGTTTTTAAAAATATTTCTACACAGTTCTATGGGGTCCAGTTGCAGTAATCAACCTACATAATCAGTTATTTTGTGTTAACAACTAATACTACTTTATTAAAATCTCTAAGTTAGCTGTGATTTAACCGATGGAATTGAGAGAAATAAAGGAAAAAAAATAGTAAAGAATGATAAAAATTATTTAGTTATGGATACAAATTGCAGAGACAGGTGTTGGATTATTTAATTGATTCCTTAGTAATAGTAATAATAATAATAACTATAACATGTAACATATCAGGATTATGAATCAATTATTCAACATGATTTAAAAAACAACTTGTCTTTGTCTAGATAAGCATTAGAAACTATTAGATATAGAAACAGGTGTTTCAATGATTGTCTAATTAGAGGTCAGTAGTTAGTAAATGTAAACTATTCTAAAACTAAATGATCTTCATAGATAATTAACTGTGGAATAGGATATCCAGGTTTCTTTTTAAAAAAAATAAACTAAGCAACTTCTCATACATACATACACACATAGGTTATCACGCTAGTTAATACTATTAGAAAGTTCAACTGCAATTCGAAGTTCAACATTTAATAACAGGACATTCAATGTGTTTATATTTTATTTTATAACTATCCATTTTTAGTAAGTTTTACCGTAGATTTCTCATCACGAGCTTACGTGTAATATTTGCACAATGTAAATTGGTGGACCTGGTTTCTTGGTACATGACTGGTTGCACAACAGGTTGACACTGTGCTATTGAGGTTGCCAATAGTTTTGATTTATCAATCAATGTGAAAAATATATTACTACTATTTTACATAGAATAAGTATGATTGTAAGTAGTAGAATGATTAGAGCGTTCGAATTTCAGATACAATCACAAATTCAAACCTTGTTCCACCTACTTTAGTTTATGAAATTGTGATGGACCACAAACTCCTACACAATGTGTAACTTGAAACCAAGTATAAAAATCTATACCTGACAAACGATTTCAACTAATAATTCAAAATAAAATGACTAAATACTCATTACAGCATTCAACTTATCAACATATAATAAAGTAACATAAAATTATGGTGATTTCAATATAATCTAATGTAACATGATAAGATTCGGAAGATTTGTAGCTTGGGTGAATGTATGCTGAGTAATTTAACTATGGAGCTTTGATTGTAGTTAAAGAAAACATTACCAGCTATTATTCCGTTATACTGTTAGCTATACTACGAGTTTTAAATCAATTGGTTTTGGTAGTCTTGACCAGCATTGATACTCGTTGTGAATTTCTTTGTTTTAGACCGTCCTTAATGATATACTGTACCAATCAGAAGTGACTCGACGAGGTCACTGGATGGCCTTCGGATCTCGGCACCGCGCATCATAGCCAGTCAGTTGTATGAAACGTATATATATTTGTGCACCGGTATGAGTTTTTATACGACATTAGCAATGCGAGATAACACTTATTAAGACAAATTCCACAGCAGTTCAGTAAACTGTGTCACACTATTGGTAGAAAAGATAAGGCACTGAATGAAGAAAATTATAGGATTCAGGACCGAAGGTGAACCCCAACCAGATAATCTACACCAGCCTGAGCGGCTCAGTCAACACTCAACGATATTATGGAATTTTTTTTATTTATACCTACACGTTAATATGTCATTTGGATACGACTGCCTGCAGGAGAATACAAAGACATAAGAAAGGATACATAAGTCATCACAATCACTATTTATAAGCAGCGTTTCACTAACTTTCATTTGTAAATTTAGTTTCAATTCTCAGGGAGTAAAATACAAATAGGAAAACACCTTAATCGTTCACTAATACAACAGTTCTTTATTTAACTACTGTCCTTAACCGTTTGTTAGTAATATATATATATATATATATATATATATATATATATATATATATATAAGCTGACGGCAAATACCGTGTTCGATTTTCAGTCACATGGTCGATGACCAACACTGCCTGGTAAGTCCTGTGTTAAGACAAAACAACGGTCCAGTGTTTCTACACTACCAATTATTCTCTGACTTAAATCGTTTCGTAACCTCAGTTTAATAATATGTTGTTGAAGTATACAAAGTCTTTCAGCGGTGATATGTTCTCAGAGCTGGACGGTTTGATTGTGTAGCTTTCGTTGTCATTCTGTATGAAGGCATGGCAACAAAATCCAAGAAGACAACCAATTACAATAAATTCCTGTTCTTATGTAACGATTCACCATAGTTAACTGATTATGTAATCATATCTTTAGATCTAAATCTTTTATTTGTTGAGTTCCTAATCTATAACTATTTTTAGAGAAAATATTGAGATATATTGTTAAATAGAAAAATTATCATTTATTTGTTAGTCATTTTATACTCAGTTGTAAATCTGCCAAATATGAATGTAAATATAGATTCGATGAGGAGCTAATTTAAAAGAAATATTACTTTGTTCAACTTGTGCTTTTTTTAAGTTTTAATGGGGAATATGATAATGAATTTTAAGAATAAAACGAATACAGGTAACTTTATTTTTCTCATATAGTTTTAAGTGAACAAATCGGTTCTATGAAATTAAAACTTAAAACCACAAAAACACATTATAGTGAAATATTTTACACTACTTTCTATGTTGGTACAACAGTCGCAAGAAATACACTCATAAACAAGAGTTACAGAAAAAATTACATAAGTTCAACGTAGTAACATGTACTTCAAAAAATTGTAGATTTAATGCAGAAACATTAAATTAAATAGAATGATAAATAGGGAGTAGGAAATGAAAGTTGACAACTAGAGAAAAGGAAAAACAGTAAACTTACACTGAGAATGATTTTGTATGATAGTTGGTTTGTTGTTATCAGACAAATATAATACATTCCCAAATGCTTCTTCAATGTTATTAGAATGAAATTGTTTGCTCATTTTTTATAATCAAAGGAATATTACTGAGGTAAATATAAAAATCCTTCCTTATGATAATAAAATCAGTCAGTAAAATAGAGAAATTTAAGGAAGCTTGAAATCTAATTTTAGGAAAATAACCTTGACGAGTGATTTTAATTGGTTAACCAAATTTAGTCGCATATTTTAACCAATCAAATCATGCCTACAGATGTACGATTAAAAAGGAGAACTTTCGAAATTTAGTATATCACATACCG